GTGCGCCGAGGAAAACCGACGTTTGGCGCCCCCCTGACCACCGCCCACTGTGCTACCACTGCGGCGAGGCCGGGCACACCTACCGCCGTTGCCAGTACCGACAGATGGGACTGCGTGGCTTCGCCGTCGATGCACCACGTCCACAGCCAGGGGAACGGCCACGTGACATCGCCGACTACCTGACAGGAACTCAATGGACACCACGAAGTCCTTCCCGTTCGCCGTCGCCCAGCCGCCGCATGTCACCGCACCCCCGGCAGTACTCCGGCCCAACGCGGGGCCGGTCTCCTAGCCCGTATCCGGGAAACTAAGGGCAGCAACCGGTGGAGGTGCGGTTGCTGTGCGACGAACTACCGAAGATCCTCCGACGACGACGACGCCGCGACGGAGCTTTCCGAACACAACGCCAACCAGGCAAAGCCCTGACGGCAAAAGCTCACTTACCGAAGGTGGCCTGACGACGCAACAAGGAAGCAGCGGAACAAGCCGGCCAGGCCGTGACCCGACGCCACGCCCTAATTGTAATGCGAGACGGCGAACTAGCGACCTTGACGTTCTTATCGATGGCCACAGTGTGACTGCTCTCGTCGATACTGGAGCTGACTATTCTGTCATCAGTGGGTCGTTCGCCGCGAAGTTAAAGAAAGTGAGGACAGCTTGGAAAGGCCCTGAAATTCGCACAGCTGGAGGTCATCTCGTAACGCCGGCAGGAATCTGCACAGCGAGAGTCACCATTAACGGCCGTATTTATCCTACAGACTTCGTAGTCCTACAGCGTTGCTCGAGAGATGTCATCCTTGGCATGGACTTCTTATGCCTTCATGGTGCTGTCATCAACCTAAAAACAAAGTCGATAACGTTATTCACAGAAGAAGCACTACCGCCGCGCACGCCGTCAGGACACCATGCTTTGAATGTGCTGGAAGAACAAGTCACCATTCCGCCTCGCTCAAGCGTCATTATTTCAGTCGGCGCTCCTAAATCACCTGACTTGGAAGGCGTCGTTGAAGGCAGTCAGCATCTGTTGGTCACCCGAAATATTTGCGTCGCAAGAGGAATTGCAGAGCTGAGGGGAGGCAAAGCAACGGTTATGCTCATGAATTTCAGCAATGAGTACAAACATGTGAACAAAGGAACAACGGTCGCATACATTGAAGAAATTGCCGAAGCCACCAGTGCTTTTGCCCTCGCCGATTCAGCGGAACCTGCTCAGGGGAACCAACCCCCTCCCATAGCTTTCGATGTCAATCCCAGACTTCCGAACGATAAGCAAGAACAGCTCAAGGCCCTGCTCCGGCAATACGAAGATTCCTTTTCGTCGTCATCGAAAATTCGGCAGATCCCAATCATGAAACATCGCATCATAACCGAAGAAAATGCCAGACCACTTCGTCAGAGTCCATACAGGGTTTCGACGCGAGAACGTGAGGCCATGAAGAGACAATTTGATGAAATGCTGCGGGATGATATTATCCAGCCGTCCAAGAGCCCATGGGCATCCCCCGTGGTGTTAGTGAAAAAAAAGGATGGGACCCTACGTTTCTGCGTCGATTATCGCCGCCTGAACAAAATCACAAGAAAGGACGTGTATCCTCTCCCACGAATAGACGACGCACTTGATCGGCTCCATAACGCCAAGTACTTTTCGTCAATGGACCTCAAGAATGGCTATTGGCAAATCGAAGTCGACGAAAGAGACCGAGCGAAGACGGCATTTATAACACCGGACGGCCTCTTCAAGTTTAAGGTGATGCCCTTCGGCCTTTGCTCAGCGCCTGCAACTTTTCTACGCGTCATGGATACAGTATTGGCAGGATTGAAGTGGCAGACTTGCCTTGTGTACTTGGACGACGTCGTCGTGTTTTCCTCGAGTTTCGACGAGCATCTTCGGCGCCTTGAAGCGGTACTTCAAGCCATCAAGACGTCCGGACTCACACTGAAGCCAGAAAAGTGCAGATTTGCGTAAGAGGAGCTCTTGTTTCTGGGGCACGTTATCAGCAAGTCTGGAGTTCGTCCTGATCCGCGGAAAACAGCCGCCATCGCCAACTTCCCGCCGCCCACTGACAAGAAAGCCGTGCGCCGATTTCTGGGCCTGTGCGCCTATTATAGGCGGTTCGTGAAAAACTTCGCCCGCATCGCCGATCCTCTCACTAACCTTACCAAGGCCGACGTGGAATTCAAGTGGGAAACGCTACAGGAACACGCTTTCCAGGAGCTTAAACATCGCCTCCAGACGCCTCCGTTACTTGCCCATTTCGATGAATTCACCGAGACAGAAATACATACCGACGCAAGCAGCGCAGGTCTTGGCGCCGTTCTTGTGCAGAGGGCTGACGGACTTGGAAGGGTTATTAGCTACGCCAGCCGATCACTATCCAAAGCAGAAGCAAATTATTCCACAACAGAAAAGGAGTGCCTCGCCATCATCTAGGCTACGTCGAAATTTCGCCACTACCTCTACGGCAGGCCCTTCAAAGTAGTGAGCGACCACCACGCCTTGTGTTGGCTAGCCACCTTGAAGGACCCTTCACGTCGCCTCGCACGATGGAGCCTGAGACTTCAAGAATATGACATTACTGTCATTTACAAGTTCGGCAAAAAACACTCCGACGCCGACTGCCTCTCTCGTGCACCTGTCGACCAACCGCTACCCGACGACCCGGATGACCACTACTTCTTGAGAACGATAACTACAGACGACTTCGCTGAACGACAGCGGGCCGACCCGGAACTTAAGGCCCTAATAGAATACCTCGAAGGCAGGACCGCCGAAGTCCCGAAGGTATTCAAGCGCGCACTTGCGTCGTTCTTCCTACGAAACGGTCTTCTACAAAAGAAAAACTTTTCACCGCTTCGAGCTAAGTACCTCCTTGTGGTGCCTTCAGCTCTGCGACCAGAACTCCTGCAGGCCCTGCATGACGATGCGACGGCAGGGCACCTCGGTGTTTCTCGCACGCTCGCGAGGATACAAGAAAGGTACTACTGGCCACGTCTTACCACCGACGTCACTCGTTATGTGAGGACATGCCGGGACTGTCAGCGACGCAAGACACCGCCGACAAGGCCAGCGGGACTTCTGCAGCCAATTGATTCACCTTGTCGACCTTTCCAGCAGATTGGTATGGACCTACTAGGGCCGTTCCCGACGTCGGCTTTCGGAAACAAGTGGATCGTGGTAGCTACCGACTACCTCACCCGCTACGCCGAGACAAAAGCCCTGCCAAAAGGCAGTGCATCCGAGGTAGCTAAGTTCTTCGTCGAAAATATCGTCCTACGTCACGGCGCTCCGGAGGTTCTTATCACCGACAGAGGAACGGCATTCACTGCCGACTTAACTCAAGCGATCTTGGCATACAGCCAAACAAACCACCGCCGGACGACAGCGTACCACCCACAGACAAACGGCCTCACCGAGCGGCTTAACAAGACGATCGCGGACATGCTGTCAATGTACGTCGATGTCGAACACAAGACGTGGGACGCCATTCTTCCGTAAGTGACCTTCGCATACAACACGGCGGTGCAGGAGACGACGCAGATATAAGCATACAAATTGGTCTACGGAAGGAGCCCGGCAACGACGCTCGATGCCATGTTACCCAACGTCACCGACGAAGAAAGCCTCGATGTGAGCGAGTACCTTCAACGTGCCGAAGAAGCCCGACAACTTGCGCGTCTCCGTATCAAGAATCAACAGACGACAGACAGCCACCGTTACAACCTTCGACGACGTTTCGTGGAATACCAGCCCGGTGAACGTGTTTGGGTGTGGACGCCGATACGCCGACGTGGACTAAGTGAAAAGCTTCTGCGATGCTACTTCGGACCAGACAGGGTGGTTCGACGTCTCGGCCCACTTGATTATGAGGTTGTCCCCGACGGCATCACGAACTCTCAACGACGCCGATCGCGACCTGAAGTCGTGCATGTCGCGCGCCTCAAGCCGTTTCATGCGCGTTAACAAACTGAAACAATGTTTTTTTGTATTATTGTTTAATCGTAATTTATTCATTGTACTTTCTTACATTATTATTGTACCTTCATTAGTTAAAGCATCGGGACGATGCCTTTTTTTCAGAGGGGGGCAATGCCACGTTCCATTTCCCAAGTTTTCGTTATCGTCCCAAAACACCACACGATTCTCAGCGCAAACCGCGCCTGCAGTTTTTCAGAAGGTTCCGGACTGTAGTAGATCATTTCGATAAGATCACGCCCACTGTGCGAACGGTACAGATTGTTCTGTAACCTACGCCACCGCCAGCGATAACGCTAGAACATTCGATGGCAAGAGTATAAATGCCGACGCGCTTCGCCGCTTGCCAGTTGTTGTTGATCGAAGGCCGACGCTCCGTTCGCCGCTATCAGTCCGAGACTGCTATCGGTGCAAGACTGCTGCTGTAATTGGACTTTCCATTTACCGGGCACAGGTTCGCCCAAATAAACAGTTAAATCCCGACACGAAGTCTCCTGTCTTCGGCCACGTCACGACTCCGTGACAATATTGTCGATAGTGTAAGGTCACGCCGAAGTTCGATGAGTACCATGTTTTGTACTGGCATAGAATTGAAGAAAGGCGTCTGACGATCGGGGTACGACATTTAGATAGCTGTGGCATCGCTTGCGTGAGCGAACCATCGATCGGCTTGCAGGAGGATGAAACCACACGCCTTACCAGTTGTCTTTCACGTGGCCGCCATGCGTGCCAGATTGATAGGTTCACATATTGCATGGCCATTTGCATATAGTTATTGTGCCTTCATTATTTTCTGCCACTGTGTGTTCCCTCAGCTGCCTGTCGGCGTTTGTGATGTATTTCTTGGGTCTGTGCTTGGCATGCCACTTTTTTAAAAATTAATACTTACCGACTAGCTCCATTATCTCTCACTACATTATCAATACAATATATTTCTTGATTTTTATAATTTTAAACCTATCTCAGCATGATGTTACCATTACCAGCTATATCGCAACGTAGTTGAGTAATACTTACGAACGAAATCTAAACGGGCAAAGTTTTTATTACGATTGGGCTATGGCTTCCATGCACTTTCTTTTAGCGTCAATCAAAACTGTCAATTCAAACAATACGCGTCCATGGGCTATCCTGGGCAGTTGCAAGACGGTACATCTTCGAGAACTGAGATTCTTGGAGGATATTGAGAAGAGTTGTCGGCTTGTTTGTGAGCATACCATCTATGTTGAGCCTGAAAGAATCAAAACAAAAAAAGCTGAAGCAGATTTCAACCTTCACAAGCACGCAACATAGCCTGACTGAAATTATGACTGTGCGATTTATTTTGATGTTTTATTGATTCTTTCAGCTTGGTAACTAGAGCGTATTTTGTATAACTGACACCGCAATCATGGAGGTAGTGGTTGCTACGATGTGCGGGTAAAACTAGGCACCGTATTTTATCTTTCGGTTGGGTATCTCGACAACAGCCCATAGCATCTCGTCAGGTTTGCAGTATACTTTAAAACAACACTTCGAAACTACTGAGAAGCTGCGACTTCCACCTGGTCAAGTTTACGTGACAAGTCTTTTGAAGACACCTGAAAATGTGACTGGCCAGATTCATCTATTGCCTAACAAGAAACGATATTTACATCACAGTATATTTGAGTTCCTAATATATATTTGCCGCAACATATCTGTATGAGGCATCACAATACTCATTCGCGAGAACCTTGATGGTATTATTGCGATAGCACTTATATGGACACTGTCGACTGAATTTCGCCGCCGCCGTCGGCGACGTCATGCACTGTATCCGGCGCGCGGAATCGAAAGTGGGTCCTCCGCGTCGTGAATGCGAGGCGTTAACCACTGAGCCACCCAAGGGTATCTCCTTGAACGTACAAACAGCAAACTATTTATATATACCACTTGCTCCTTTTGGCGGGCATGTCGGGGGGAAACCATTGTGTTTTCAGCATTATCAGCAAGATCACACAATGAGGGCGTGGCGGCTCCCATCTCGCACGCATACTTTGGCCCGCGGATAGGAGGGGAGTGCCTTTATCTCTCGCGTGCCCTTATCTCCCAGTGGGGAGGATCATACAACTTGGCTGACGTTGGGCTTGCACTGGAACGATTCTGTTGTAGTTACGGGGTGCACAAAGGTCACTGCAATCGTTGCACAGTTTTAGTTTGCGAAAAGAGGACGCTTTTCCAACAACTGAGACGCTTATTCACGTTCATCTGCACCTGTGAGTACGATTCGTGCGCCGTTTGTGCGTGAGAAACGCGGGGCACGTTTCGATTTGCTTGCCACTCTGCGCGTGTCCTTTCAATGTGTTGCTGTCACGTTCATTGCTTCACTTTTGCGGCAAAGCTGAGACTTTTTATATCACAACCTAACTAGAAAAAAGAGCAAAGCATATTTGTTCATCGTAGGTATCAGAATGAACGCATTCATAGCATCGAAACGGTCTTCAATAATGCTCTAGTGTCATTTTCTAAAAGCTAGGGTTCCTTTTATCTAAGCTAGCGCATTACGCCACCACAGAAGAAAAAGAACATTTTGGCGTTCAACCTGAATTTAACAAGTTATCAAAAACCTGGCATGCAGCATCGGGGTGCCTGTGTGGCAGGCCTTCTTCCGTTTATTATGCACCAAACAGCGTGTCTTACTTAAGAAGGGGGTCGATTGAAGGTCGCTTTCCTTATGCCCATGAAGGAGCCTTGCATTTTCTAGCCGGCACGCAAAAAATGTGTTGATTTCATTCTCGAAGCGAATAGTTGAATTTTAAATTCAACTAAGAAGTATATTAGAGCACTTTTTTACTTAGCTAAACTACAGGTTTTCCCGCTCACTTTAATCCAAGTGCCAGCCTAAATAATCTGCACGCCATTGAAATAATCTGAACGCCGAGCTATTTAATCCATGTGCCAAACATTTAATCCAAGCGCCAACATATTTAATCCAAGCGCCAACTCACTCAGGCCGCGTGCCATTGAGTTTAATCCAATTGCCACCGTGTTTCATCCAATTGCCAATGACTTTAATTCAGGTGCCAGTCAGTTTAATCCACGCACAAAAACCAGAATACGGGGCGTAAAAACGACAGCGCAATTGAAATGCAGTTCCTACAGTATAAAAGACAATAGTCGGAAGGTAGAATCAATCATTATTATTTGTATTTGCCGATAGTATTCTTGAAAAAAATTACTGCCGTGGTTCGCTTAAGCCATGTTTGGAGTGCTTATACTTTGCTATGCGCAAGTTTGTATAATGAGTGCTTGGCCCAGGGGAAATAATTTTAATGAAAACGAAAAAACGCAGGAACATAATACTGAATATTTCACAGTGCAATGAAATTTAGTATCCGTCACTGAAGCTCATAATTGGCTTTGGTACACACTACAACGTTACATGACCTGGACAGGTGATGTAATGCGAACGACACACTATGTTTATTGGAGTGCCGGAACGCATACTAAGAGATTAAAAGCATGGTCGCGGACAGGGATGGGTCAAAGACAGCTACATAATCAAGAAATTAGGAAGCCGTCGCGCGGCACGCATTGGGAATTAGAGATAATTCCAACGTTTTTTTTTTCCTGTAGTGAACATGAAACGTAAACTGATCATCCTGATGTAGCAATAGAAGTTTTATTTTACATTATTGTATGCTCTTATTTTTTTATTCATACAAAGTTAAATGTCTCCAATGATACGAACAGTTCTGATTGTTCGTTTAGCTTGTTAGTTTTGTGACGTACTTGACGAATGCGATGAAACGAACACAGAGGAAAAAAAATGATAACATGCAACTGACTTTGGGCCTAGCTTTCTTTTTTTTGTGAACGTGTTTTTTTTTTGCGCTGCATTACACCTCTCATCGCACATTGGAAGCTTGCGGATTCAGTGCAATTACTAAATTATTTGTTCTGTCCCCCCTCTCTATCTCTACACACACACACACACACACACACACACACACACACACACATGTTTGTGTGTGTGTGTACACATACATACATATACATATACAGAAAAACAAGAGTTATTCAGGAAAACAAGAGTTCAACGTCTGCGCGTGGGTACGCAGACGTTGAAGAGTCAGAAAGAATGATAAGGAGAGATGTTATCCATGGGTCTTTCCGCTGTTCAGACGACATGCTTGTGACGGAAATGGGAGCGATGGAGAAGTTGGTGTCCGACTGCAGGTCTGCGGTGGATCTCACTGGTGATCGTGAGAGGGCATCCGCATCAGAGTGTTTTCGTCCTGAGCGGTAGACGACACGAATGTCGAATTCTTGTAGGTGAAGAGCCCAACGTCCAAGGCGACCTGAAGGATCTTTTAGCGACGCCAACCAACAAAGTGCGTGGTGGTCGGTCACAACGTCGAAACTCTGTCCGTACAAGTAAGGCCGAAACTTGCTTAACGCCCAAACGATTGCGAGGCATTCTTTTTCAGTTACGGAGTAGTTCATCTCCGCTTTTGTGAGTGCGCGGCTTGCGTATGCGACGACGTACTCTGGAATACCGGGCTTTCGTTGCGCGAGTACTGCTCCCAGACCAACGCCACTGGCATCTGTGTGCACTTCAGTGGGGGCACTTGGGTCGTAATGGCGTAGAATTGGTGGGGACGTAAGTAGGCGGCGCAGTGTAAGGAAAGCCTCGTCGCATGCCGGGGACCAGTTAGAAAGATTAGCTGGACCGTTCAGTAGTTGTGTAAGTGGGGCTATTATTGTTGCAAAGTTGTGGACGAAACGACGAAAATACGAGCACAAGCCGATGAAGCTCCTAAGTTCTTTGAGTGAAGTCGGCTTCGGAAAGTCGGCTACGGCTCCAAGTTTGTCGGGGTCGGGGCAAATTCCATCCCTTGACACAACGTGACCAAGTATAGTAAGTTGGCGAGCCCCAAAGCGGCACTTCTTTAGGTTAAGTTGGAGGTTTGCCTTGGTAAGACACTGAAGAATGGTGCGCAGACGGTCGACGTGGGTAGGGAAATCAGGCGAAAATACGATAACATCATCGAGGTAACATAAGCATATCTGCCATTTAAGGCCGCGTAAAATGCTGTCCATCATTCGCTCAAACGTTGCAGGTGCATTGCACAGACCGAATGGCATAACCATGAATTCGTATAGGCCATCCGGCGTAACGAACGCTGTTTTGGGACGGTCACACTCTGCCATCGGAACCTGCCAGTAACCTGAACGTAAGTCCAGCGAAGAAAAGAATTCGGCACCTTGTAGGCAATCGATAGCGTCGTCGATGCGGGGAAAAGGGTATACGTCTTTCCGTGTAATTTTGTTCAGTCGCCGGTAGTCGACACAAAATCTAGTCGAACCGTCTTTTTTCTTCACTAGCACAACAGGTGAAGACCAGGGGCTAGAAGATGGTTTGATGACACCGCGCTGAAGCATATCATCCACCTGCTCTGCAATTACACTTCGTTCCTTGGGTGATACGCGGTAGGGGCGTTGCCGCAAAGGAGGGTGCGTTCCGGTGTAGATTGTGTGAGCGACGGTGTTAGTTTGACTCAGTGCCTTTTGAGGAAGGTCAAATGAATCTCGGAATTCATGCAGAAGGGCTATTAGCTGGTCCCGTTGATCCGAAGGAAGCTTGCTGTCGATGGAACGATTGAAGATATCCGAGGAGTAGTCATCCCGCGTAAAAAGAGGAGTAACGGCGTTCAGCTGAAGTTGCTGGCCAGGGTCGTGGGACTCAATAGGCACAATAACGTTGTCGTCAACAGGATGAACATAGCCCAGTGTTTCAAGAGCTCTTAAGGTGAGAGGGCATGAGCTAGGATTGCAAACGACAATTCCGGAAGTATCTTGATGAGGTGGCAGAACGGCGTATGGCAGAGACGTACCGTGGCGGCGACTGAAAACGTCAAATGGAGAGAACACAACGGTAGAGCCGGACAATTCAGTGCGATTGACGGGGACAACGATGGCACTAAAAGGAGGAACATCAACGTCGGAAGCAACAAGAAGCTTGCCCAGGTGAGCGCGCTCATTGTCAGTAGATGGCGCATCTGAAAACACAGATAATTCTACCTGCGCGCGAGCGCAGTCAATTACGGCGTGGTGCCGTGACTAAAAATCCCATCCTAGTATCACGTCGTGGGCACAAGTGGTCAACACGAGAAACTCGATGTGGTACAGGACGTCCTGAATGATTACTCTCGCTGTACATGCTCCGACTGGTCGAATAGGTTGCGAGCTCGCGGTATTCAGCAATACGTCGGAAGGCGGCGTCGTTACTTTTCGTATCGAACGGCAGAGTTTTTGACTCATCACAGATACGGCGGCACCCGTGTCAACAAGCGCATGAGTTCGTAGACCTTCAACAAACAGTTCCAGAACGTTTGTGGGGGACGGGCGAGGACTTCTACAATGCGACGATTTCGCAGCTCGTGCCTCCGGAGCTGCGGCAGTCAGTTTTCTGTCTCTGCGGGGTTCGGTCGGCGACGCAGCGGGGACGGAGATTGGTAGCGGCGTGATGAGGATGAGCGACGGAGACCGAATGGTCGGTAGTCGGCAGCAGGGTGGTGGTCTAGTTCGGATGGGGACGGGTCGCGTTGCACTGATCGTCGGTCGCATTGACGGGGCATTTCTCGTTGCACGTTGTACGGGGCCGGGAAAGAGTCGTCAGAGTACCCGGAGCTGCAGCCGGGCCCGTTGCGAAGCGCCAGCGACAGAAGCGCGCCACGTGACCTGGATATCCGCATGCATAACAGATTGGACGATTGTCAACTGTGCACCAAGGGTTTTCGTTATAGCACTGTTGTGTTGCTGGAAATGGCGTCGTTGGTACTCGTAGAGGCTGGGGAGTCAGCCGAAGGGGAGGTCGTGGTGGAGTAGCAGCAACAGCAGCGTATCTCAATGGCGCGGTGACAGGTGTTGTCTGAGAGACGGGTGGCAGTGCATCAGATACCTGCGCCTGTATTACCTGTCTGATGGCGGGCGCGAGACGCTCAGAAAAGGGTTCCATTGCCGGTTGATACGACAGACACGAAAGTTGTCGGGCCACCTTCTCGCGTACATATCGTTTGATTTGCGTAATGATTGTGTTGTTGTTTCCACTTAGGGTCAATGCCGCGAGAGTTTCGTCGGTAGTCGCTGGCCGCCGTGTCATGACCCGCTGCTTGCGCAATTCCTCGAAGCTCTGGCAAAGAGTGGCGAGTTCAGACACGGTACGGGGGCCCTTGGCCAGCAGCATCTGGAAGGCGTCGTCGTCTATTCCCTTCAAGATGTGCTTGATCTTGTCTGCCTCGATCATTGAAGGGTCAAGGCGCTTGCACAAGTCGAGCACATCCTCGATGTAGCTCGTGAAGCCTTCCCCCTGAAGCTGTGCGCGTCCCCGTAGGCGCTGTTCGGCACGGAGCTTGCGTACCTCGGGGCGACCGAACACATCGGTAATGCGTAGCTTAAAGGCACCCCAAGTGGCGAATTCCGAGTGGTGGTTGTTAAACCAGAGACTCGCCACCTCTTTCAGGTAGAAGGGTACATATTGAAGCTTCGAAGGGTCGTCCCATTTGTTGCTTGCGCCTACCTTTTCAAATGTCGACAGCCAATCTTCTACGTCTTGCTCATCGGTACTGTCGAAAAAAGGTGGATCGCGCACGCGTAGCGAAGTGGGCACGATGACCATCGGAGGCTGGGTCGTACCTTGCTGGGTGGTTTCTTCAGCCATTTCTGGGATGGCAGGTAGTTTCCTGTTGCGGAGTTCCAGGTTGAAGTGCCCAGCACCTCCACCACTCTGGAACGGGGTTTATTGGCACAAGTAGCACTTGCACGGTAGGTCTATTGACGCGGAAAGCGGGCGGCAGCAACGGACTCAGGAATCGCAGCAATCGGGGCAAACGCTCGCGCTTGGCTCCTCCTGCTAAAGGCGTGACCCACTGCGGCACATATTCTTCTTCCTCTCTACACTACTAATTATTCAAGAAATGCAACATAGGCACAGGTTAGTGTATTTATCAAAACAGAACTGTCTCATAGGGCTCAGAGACGGATGTTCACAAGTCATCTTTACGCAAAACGGCAGGCACGAAACAGAAATTGTGCCGATCAAAGGCCGCGCAGTCCGCGCGCTGTATTTGTTGCACGGAGTGGCGAGCCACATCCAGCAGCAAAGAACGCCTGTGCTCCTTTTTCATCATGCCTTGCGGTATCACTAAAACTAAATTACGACGTTCGCTCAGGTAGGCCTTCACGTGTGACTTGAATTTCGAGAAGGCTTCTTCTATAGGGTTAAAGAAAGGACTGTAGGTTGGCAGGCGCTTAATAGAGTGCATGGAGTTAGCCAAAGCCGCCTGTTCTACTCGAGCGTGAGTAGGTGCATTATCAAAAAGGAATGCAGCTTCGGTATTTGGCTCATCACGTTCTACGCGGGCCGAAACGTCACTGAGGAAGTCATTAAAAACAACCCAATGAACTTTGTCCACCACAGTCCAGTGAATACCTCCATTTGCGGACATGCATGCTATAATGTTCAAGTTCACTCCCTTTGTCGTTATGGTCATGTGCACAGCTGGTTGTCCTTTAGCTGCCCTGCCGAAGTTCCTGGAACACCAGATATTGAAGTTAGTCTCATCCAAATAGAAGCGGCAAACACGTGGTTCATCAGACTGCAGCCATTGGGCGTACAGCATTCGGCTGTGCTTGATATCGTCACGGTTGCGATCTGTCGGCCTCTGCGTCACTATATAGCTTCATCGTGTAGCAGTGGGCATCCAGCAAGCGGTCGACTGTGCTTGCACTGATTGTTACTCCTGGCATTTGTTTCTCCAGGGCTTCCTTTATTTGCTTCATTGTAAATGTACAGTTTTCGTCGACAATTCGTCTCAAAGTATTCACGACGTCATCTCCAAACTTCCTTTTTAAACCCCCACCATGCTTTGATGTTTCTCTGTCGGTAGCGGCAATCGATCTTGCTGTTTTAATGTTGATGCCTAGAGCGTCGGCCAGTTGCTTTAAGTCACCACCACGCCTGTAAACGTCCACAATCCTAGCACTGTCGACCACCGATACTCTGCTGTTTTTTCGACGAGGTTCGTCGGGGTTCTTGAAGTGTGATCCTCGTTTGCGTCCAGCCATGACTTCAAGCAAACTCTCTCTTCGTCTGCAAATGTTCCCGTATGAAAACACACGTTTCAAGTAAACACGCTTCAGCTACACTAAGCGTCGTCTGTTACATGAAAACCGGAGTATCTATTTTGATGCTTTTATAAACACTTATTTCCACATGAACCCGATTAAATGCAAGTTTGGTATTTTTAAGTGGTTATTTCTGATCTCAAGAACGAATTAATATCATCTGTCGGTCACTGTTCTCTCTGGGCTGAGCAGACGACTGCGGTAGCCTCAGCGCATAAGTAGCCAAATGCCGTCTGCTCAGCAGACGACACGAATCTATGCATATGCGATGGTGTAGATGGTTAACCGGAATGAAGCAGTAGCAATGCAATAAAGACTAACATGGACTCTATGAGCAAATACATTTAGGTACCCATAAATGTAATTACTACTGACCGTTTTTTTTTTTGAAGCTATGACACCAAAATGCTAAGGGGAAGCCGCACTGCGCACTTCATTTCATAAGCGCTACCATGTATAGCCGAGGGAAAAGTTCTTGCTGTGACGCCATGTTTACGTTATTCTGACATTTATACTATATATAGTGGCTAACTGTGTGTTTAAAGCGCATGGATTAAACTGACTGGCACCTGAATTAAAGTCATTGGCAATTGGATTAAATATGGTGGCACTTGGATTAAACTCAATGGCACGCGGCCTGAGTGAGTTGGCGCTTCGACTAAATCTGTTGGTGCTTGGAATAAATATTTGGCACATAGAATAAATAGCTCAGCGCTCAGATTATTTCAATGGCGTGCAGATTATTTAGGCTGGCACTTGGATTAAAGTGAGCGGGAAAACCTGTAGTCTGTATGACAGATATGGGGAGATGATTGAAGCTATCATCTTCTCAGTACACTCATAGGGTGATGGTGGTGGTTCCGGTTAAAAGGTAACATGAAAAACATAGAAATTCGAGAATAAACAGCAAAACACTATTCGTAGAAACAGGTTCAGCGTCACTCTGCAGGTGTAAAAAAGGAAAACATGAGGAACGAGGTGTGGAATACTCATGCGGTATACGCTTGAGTCGTTAGACTCTTAGCTCATCACTGCCAAGTGGTAACTACAAATCAGCGATTCGTACAGCCTCATTCTTGCCTCCTATTTGTCCCGAGCTTTGCAACACTGCTCAAAGCTGCGTTGGTATCCTGCTATTTCAAAAGTGTTATAACAATTTACTAAACAAGTCATAGTCAAGGGTCGCTTGAATACGCCGACAAACGATATCTATTGTATAAAAAGTGGGACTGTTCCATGAACTTCGTTTTACAAAAAATATGCATATCTTCTCAATCATGTCGACTTTACGTTTGACAAATGGCTACCGTTTACATGCCAGTGTAGTTGACATGTATGTAAAGCCCACAAGATGCACACAACTATGCACTTCAACACAGTGATATCGATCCAAATTCTAACGATTCGCGCAAAGCGAGAAACTCGGCATAGGGTGCCAAGTTTCCCGCTTCGCAACTACGTCACATGAGATTCATTCCCACAATGCATTGAATCTGAGCTAGTTCACGCCTGTTTACACCAGCTATGTTCTGAACAGCTATGATATACCAGCTAGTTTCGCAAGTGGCATCCACACTTTCGCAAGTGTGTTTTTGCAAACGACAGTGTAACCACCTGGACACTATTCATAGCGCATACCTCAGGAATCGACGTATGGTGACTGGCATATCCACAGTCCAGACATACACCTTGTCCACATAGTCATGGGTCGTATTCGCAGCTGTTCGCCGTGACGTCGCCGCATTGGTACGCACGTCCCAGTAAATGCCGATCAGGCAGTTAGTAGTCCCATCTCCCTGCCAGCGATGTTCCCTGATACCGAGCTCTTCGTATGTATCGGCGATGACATTGAGCAACTCGTATCCACTGATGTCGAAACCTGCGAACCAAATTTCTTTGAGACTGCAGGTTGCAGCCACGCTCACGCCCTTTCTCAGCGTGAGGCACATCCGCTACTGCGAAACCTAAGGCAGTGCGCATCATGAGCGTGCATGGCGACTCCCGTTCGAAGAGTTCGAAGAGATACACCGTTTACCAGAGCACCGATAACATTAACGTGCAAAATCAGCATCGAGGACTTCCACTGCATGAGTAGAATCTTGTTAGCGAAATAAAAAAAAATTTCGGCGTACGACATGTGCGCCACGTTTTGCTGCCATTCATCGGCTTTACATTTGTTACGGAAGTTGAAATACGCGCCATCTACAGCGAGTTCTGTCAGGTTGTTTATTCATCAGATGTAGCGACCCATGCAGCGCCAGCGAAGCGCATAGGAGGGACTTGCAAGGCGGTCACGTTCTTTTTTGCGTGACCCCGATGTCAGTTGCAGGTGTTCGAAACATTTTTGGCAATTCTAAGTAGCATTTCTGTTACCTCTTAGTTATTTCTTGTGATTAAATTACATGAAACTTTGTTCTTCCATTTTAACTGTGATTAAAAGCGTAGTAGACCTTGTTATGACCGGTATTGATCGCTTTACTTTGAGTGTGTTAACGCCAAATGAGATGCGTAGATCGACTACAAAGTGTTTTTTTAGAGTGCCGCACCTAAAGGACACCGCCATAGACAGAGATAGGTAGTAGGTGAGACTTTTGCCAGTGTACCACCTCTATTTTAATGCGCGTCCTTGAGCGGTCGTGCTGTATCTCCAAAAAACAGTAAGACCTACCGACAAGGATAACTTAGTGCATTGGAGAAGTAAGCCAACTTCGTGAGAAAGAGATATGTTCATCGCTTAAACCAATAAATTAACTAAAAAAAGCGATACCTGTTTGTAGCGATTTGTGTAATATTAACGTCCCAAGACATTTGCATTAGGCGGCACTTTAAACAAAGACAACATTGTCGCAGTTCACCTAATATGTGTGAATTGAGTGAAATATGGATATCAACACACTCGCTACGTGGAACAACTTAAATTTGCTTCGGCTGGTTAAAGTAACTATTATAAAAACATTGCCATAAATCTAACTACAAATAGTAAAACATAGATTATGTGCTTCTATTCTGTATTTCATGGTACATCAGTATCAGTAACCAGGCTTCAAGATTACCTTGCTAATTTTAGCATGGTGCCCCTCGTCGTTAATCAGTTTGAAGGTTAAAACCGTCAAATCATGCGTGCTTCTGCAACCATTCACTCTTATGCACCTGTGTATTTTGTCGATAACACTCCCACAGTTCTTAGCAATAATAACTTATTTTCAATATCAGTGCTGATTATGAGCCCTAATAATTACACCAATTAACCAATATTAGTTTAATTGATAGAAACAATAATAGGATTTGAGAAGTAGCTTGCTATGTGCTGTCTGTGCTATGTGCTGTCTGTACGATAGTACAATTTCATTTTTCTTTCAGTGTGTGCAACCATGCTGTATCGTATAGGTTATATGATATAATTCTGTCTGTATAAATTTGTTTGTCTGACATGTGATGTGCATTGTATGATGCAGCACATACACAAGGAGCAAATTTGTATATATCTTCCCTGATATTTTCATCATTTATTTATTTTTACTATTTTATTTTTTGGCAATAATGGTGTTATGGTTGCTCAATTTTTCTTCTGTTTTTTTTTGTTTTTTTTTTATTTTTGCTCGCGTCCATGTAGTCTTCTGTGCTATGCTGGTATCAAGATGTTTCGTAGGAATGTATATATATGTTTTTATTACACCGTATTTGGTATTGTAATGTTAGCTTATGGTCTTTATTGTTATACACATCTTTTTCATTGTCCCACCTGCCTTGTATAGGGTTCACTGGCCTCGTCAAGCTGTCCATAAACAGCTTTTAGCTAGTGAACCTCTCCAGAACCTGTTTCTTTCTGGGAAAATAAAATGATGATTTGATTTGATTTATTCATTGTAAAAAAAGTAATGTTAGAATATCTAAGATTTAACATCCCGAAACCAAGATCTGAATATGAGTGACGCCGTAGTGTAGAGCTCCGGAACTTTCGACCACCTGGGGTCTTTTACCGTGCCCCTAAATCTCAATACACAGGCGTCAAACAATTTCACCTTCATCAAAATGCAGCTGCCGCCGCCAGGTTTTGGTCCCATGACTTTCGGGTTAATGTCGATTGTCATTGCCACTAGACCACCATGGAGCATTGTATAAACGTAAAAAAGCAGAAAAAACGCGGATGCAAGGCAGAACATTAGGGCGCTAGAAATCCTGGCTCTTTAGTACCGTCCTTAGAGCCGAAGTTGTGATACTTGGTCGATTCACTGAACAAGTCATAGTCAAGCTTGAAAAATAAGAAACTGCAGAAGTCACAGGGGTACTGACTGCATAATTGTCAGCTGTATTTGTCTTGCACAAAATGTAATAATAATTCATCGAGTAATTATAAAAAGCACTCGGACGCCTTATTGCTGCCAGAAAATATTACTTTTTTTTTAAATCTTATTCGTGTTCGTACAACAGCTAGATTTCACAGCGAGTTATGGGTTCCTCGTGACGTACTCATGCAAAATATCGTGACGGTTTCCCGGCCGCTCCCCTCCACCTCTCCATCAGTTATTCACGAGCGGCCATTAAACGTTTTGGTACCTGGCGTCATTGCCGCTAGCCGTACCGATGCGTGAAGTCAGTAGGCTTCATACTCAGTGCATGGGCATGAGGTGTCGCTGGAGCCGAAAGTATGACAACCAGACTTGGCTTCTTGAAGACGACCACTGCACTAGAAGAAGAGAAGTGAAGTGGTCAGAAAATCACCTCTGGTGTCATGCGCTGTTGACATGCGACAGGAGCTTCATTTCTTGACGCTTCTACTGTCTCCTGAACTTTTGCCTTCTGTCAAAAATTATAGCATAGCTTGTTGTGCCCCACCACGGTGGTCTTTTGGCTAAGGTACTCAGTTGCTGACCAGCAGGTCACAAGATCGAATACCGGCTATGGTGGCTGCATTTTAGATGAAGGTGGAAATGATGTAGGCCTGTGTTCTAGGATTTGGGTGCACGTTAAAGAACCCCAGGTGGTCAAAGCTTCTGGTGCCCTCCACTACGGCGTCTCTCATAATCATATGGTGGTTTTGGGACGTTGAACTCCACATATTTATCTAACACGACAAGTTGGCCTGATCATTGGGAGAAGCCCACGTCCTTCGACGGCAATAAATATGATTTTGGTTGGAGCTGAAAGGTAAATGGTGTGCATTTCCGGCGCATGAAAACGAACAATCACAGTCTAACACGTATGTGCAGCTCTTCAGCGTATCATTTGATGCGCTTAAGACGCGCCACATGATGCTCTTCAGCCCATCATTTGGCCCTCAGTCACGTCAAAAGCCGTTTACATCCCCCAGCTTAGCTATGCTTCTTGAATAATCAATGTGCCAGCCTTACCCACGTGGTCCAAAAAGAGCGATGAACTTCCAGCCTTCTTGAATGTGTCGAGTGCTCCCGCGAGTATGTCTTTATCGTCCGTTGAGAATGCGGACACGATGACGTTCAGCATGTACTCGGAGGGTATTGTACCTAGTAAAACGAAATGGACCTAATGAAGATTTAGTACAAAAAAGATTCGGAAACAATGAACAATATACAATAACAAAAGGCAGCTAAAATTCTGAGTTTGCAGGCAAGCGTATAAAAACGTGCATTCGAGTAAGGACAAATTTTGTTTGTGCAAGTTGCCAAATAGAAAAGATGTGGCCATTTTATTTCAACGTTTCGAGTGTCAACGAATTCATATTTTCTTTAGTACTATAGCAACCTGTAAAAAATTATTTGTGAACTCTACCATCAGTAGATAACACGTGATTGCTCACATACGCACACAATTTCCAATTCATTTACTGTAATCTCATAGGTCCCGCATGTAACTCTACCGGAAGATTGGTCGACGTAAAATTGGCGGTATCGATGAACGTGTGCATTAGGATGTGGTTGAGTCTGTTTTCTAGATGGCATTGTGTTAACGCGTAAAGTCGCGTATATGATGGCTGATTTGTACTATTATCATTCTCACCGTTACCAACTGCGCTTACTACCAGGGTTGTAACATATGTGACAAATCATTACTACCCAAAGTTAGCGAGTACTACTACCTTTTTCTAATAGTGTACGCTACACGGAAGACTGGCGGCTAGCGCAACTCTCTCCAGCGAAATGAGCCTGGGTGGCTTTACTATCAACGCACAACGTTCTCAGTGAGGCGAACGGCCACAGGATTTCGCCAGCTACCTCGCTGCATCATAGGGATGACTTCGACGAACACCGCGTTAAGCATCCCGAAGACGCGACCTGTCACGGTTACCCCCCGCAGCACTGTATCTTTACGCCTGGGCGTTCACGAGCCCGAACTAACGACGGTAACTGATGAAGGTGTGTTTACTGTATGACGAAATCCCAAGGTTCTTAACGAAATGTTTTCTTGTGGTAGTTTACACAGGAAAAAGTTATAGCGCGAATTAACACCCTGACAGGCGAAGAGAGCGGGATCAGTGCTTTTTTTTACAAAAATACCCAAGGGCCTTAACTGTTATATATTATATAGACGTATACGCAGGTCAGATTGCATGGTTCAAATATTGCAAGGGTACGTGCAGATAAGCTTTCGTGCCTCCTACGGTTTCTCTATTTAAGAAGTTATGAAAAGAAGAAGAGAAAAAGGCCGTTTGCAAGTGTATTTTTTACGACGACACATCAACAGGTCGAAACCAAGATGGAGTACTGGGAAGGAGAGGTATCGGTAATGAAAAGGGTAGAGGAGAAAAGGAAGAGAAAGAGAAGTAGTACACGTTCGCTCTGCCTCTCACAGCTCGTGCCTTAACCACCGCGAAAACCCGCAACCATCATAAAAAGTTGCCGAAAAGGCCGGGGAGCAACAATCGCCGAAAAAGAGGTCGTTGAGCCGAAGAGGCGCTTTAAAAGATGGGAGTGCACGAGTGAGTGAGTGAAAACATTTATTGATAAAAAAAGGAGGAGAAGTTCAGCCTTTTGGAGGCTTCATAGTAAGTGGAATCCTCGTTTCGAGACCCCATTGGTGACACTTGCTAACCTAGCCCTTTCGACCAGGGCCCTTTGGCCTTGAAGGTCCGAGCAACCTGGCAGGGTCGCCTCCCACTTCTCTCTGGTCGGGTTAGGGTTGGGGGGAAGAGCTGAGCTGAGCTCGCAAGCCCAAACGATGTGGTAGCTTTCAGCCACCTGCCACAGCGTATTGGCACTTGCCAGTGAAGGAGGAATCGAAATCTCGCACGATTGCCGGGCACAATAAAGTATTTGTGAAAAGTCTCAGCAAGATGCGCTCATTAGCTTTCCCCAGCCCCTTTGCAGGAGGTGGGTATTGACGATGCTGATCTCTGTAATAGGTCGTAATATCTTTAAATGTCAGCAGATAACCGCCTTCGGGTTGCGGGCCCTCAGGATCTAAGTGGGATGCCCGGTGAACGAGTGCTCGGGCTGCCATGTTCACGGATTCATTCCCCATTAGGCCCTGGTAGCCTGGAGTCCAGACTAGACAACGACAGGTCGGGTCAATTTCCCGGTTGCTGTAGTTCTGCAAAATTCTTTCCGCTAGTGGTGTGATCCAACCAGATTCATAATTTCGATATGCCCCACGCAAACCTGATATTATACATTGAGATCGATGGTCGGAGGCAGCTAGGGCAATAGCTAAATCTTCCGCTTGCGTTCTGCCAGGAGCTCTGAAAGGGAATACATCTACTTCCTTTTCCTCGTGAATTACCGCTGCCGTCTACCACCCCGCACTGTCACGACCAGCCAAATCCACGTAGATGACTCCGTGTTTATTAGCGCTCGCCTGGGCGTGGGGCCTCGGCACGAAAAAAATGAAGAGTTCCAATCAGCACACGGGTTGGAGCCCAGGGGGTCTTGATGTGATAATCCAGCCATCTAACTCACCAGGATGATAGCTTCATGCGCAGTGAGAGCCCCGGCACACAATACACGCACAGGAGAGTCAGCCGGCAGAAGCACAATCACTGCACAAATTGCCGCCGCAATGGCGGCAATCACCGCGTCCTTCCGCAGTTGACCTCGGGGCCCGCATATCTAGAAGAGGGCATGATGGGGTCATGCTCGACGAGGCAGGAGGTGCACTCGTAGAAGGGCGAGGGGCGGTTGCCGACGTTGATAGATCATCAATGGCGACAGTGTCACGAAAGTAGAGACCTGTCACGACCACCGCGCTCCCCACTTTTTGTTGTTGTTGACTGTGGTTCTGCATTTCTCCCATGCTTGGCGGCGCGTCACGGGGCCGTCCGAAGAGGCATTGATAACGACAGCCTTGCGTTGAATCTGCCAAGAAGGACAGCGTGGCCCGTCCCTAAGGTGCTTTCTTCTGCAGTTGAGTCAGCGTGGGGATCTCGTGCAGCACGAACCCTTGGTGTGCCTGCCACTGCAACTGAAGCAGCGTTCATCCCACGAGCAGGTCGCCATGGTACGGCCGAATCAACGGAACTGGTTGCACTGAAGAGGCCGCTGCTGACAAGGACGAACGGGCCTCTGGAGTTTGAATAGGGACACCTCCGGTAGAACTCTGGTGCCCTCAGAGGTGACTGTCAGGGACCTGCCTCGGCAGACAACAGAGATGACAGGGACGGCAGAAACCAAGATGGTCGCGATGTCGTCCATGTCAAGGTTTGTGTTGATGCCGTAGATGGTGCCCACGCTGGTGTTACTCATGAGAAGTTTGCCCCACACGTGGATCTCGCAGAGCTGACCCACCTGAAGAAGGGGTGTAGGGTGCATGAAATGATGAATGTCCACTCCCACGACGTTGCGTCGAAAATGGACGCGCACAGGCCGAGCGGGTGGGAGGCCGGACAGAAAGTCCGTGATGGCATCGCGGGTTGCTGTCAGAAAGTTGGCCCTCTTTCTAACAGGGCCAAGCAAGATGTTGCCACCGCGCTCTGCCACGGCTGCAGAAAGGGCAGGGGGCTGTGGCACGGGCACCACTGGTGGCACCACGCCCGGCTAAGGCGTGGTGTCGCCGCTACCTTCTACTGCTGCAGAAGGGGACGGGGGATGTGGTACGGGCACCACTGGTGTGGCAGCGCCCGGTGGGAGAGAGTGTAGCTTAGGCGTGGAAGCCAAAACTGGGCCACCGACTTCTTCCCACGTCGTATACCATGTTGTTGAAAGTCGACAAGGCTGGTGTTTAATGTTTCCTTGAGCAACTGAAGGGGGAGGATATTATCGTCTCTGTGTTGTCGCGAGAAATTTGTACCTCGCAGGAAGCCATGGTCATAGCAGGAGAGGAGGAAGAACTTATGGTCACCTTCCTTTCACTCGGAGTCTAGGAGAAGGTGGCTGCGCCATGGCTGCCGTTCTCCTGAGGCCGGGGTTTTCGATCGGTGCGTGCAGTCTTCAGCTTGAATTTATGCATGCTACAGATGTCAAATGTTTACAGACGTCATCTCCCAGTCTTCAGCTGTGCCTGCTGCTGCTGCGTGGACACCGATGACGATGTAGAGGCTGCCGTGACGGCTTCGTGCTGGGTCCCCTTCTTGCGCCTGCCTCTCGGTGGCATCTCAAGTCCTTAAAAGGGCTGTGCGCAAAAGAGCGTGGAGCGACCACTGACGATAGGACGAGAGTGCAAAAACACACGCCCTCCATCTTTGAAAACTCACTTGGCTCTCCTACCTTTTCGGTCGTTTTGGGCTTCTTCAGTTGTTACCAGGCATTTGTGGTATCCTGACTAGGTTCTTGGGTCCGTGTTTGCACTCCCTCTATCTTTAAGAATGTTTCTCCTAGCTACAGCTTGGGGCGAGCGGGTTTTGGATTTCGTAATAGAGAGAGGTCTTTAGCCACGTTGACATAGTGAGTAAAGTAGCGAAGAATGAAAACCATGCGAAGTACGAACAGAATTTACGTACACTTTCAGTAAATAAACGTGCGTTGACGTAATAGACTTTTCCCTAATTTTTTCATAAAATTTTCGGTTATTCGCTTGATTCTAGAGTTTTCCCGGTCTGATACCTGAATTAGGCAGTATTTGTTGCGTTATGTTTCTTTCGGTGCTAAAAAGCAAATTAGCAATAAACATTATTTAACGAAAATATCTACACATGGGTCACAAACACCCCTTAATCATGTTCATTTCCAGTCATTCTGGTACAAATGCAAGGGCGAACGTTTCTACAAAGCATTGGGATGAGTTCTAGTGAGTTGTTCAAAACAGATAAAAAATATAACTACGAACCATTGTTCCAAAGGTGGTTTATCAAGCTGTTGGCGAGGTTGATGCCAGCCTGGTACTTCGTGTCAGTGGAAAGGCTTCCTGTCTTGCTGTCAACGTAGAGAAGCTGGAGCTTGCCAGTGAACTTGCCACCTAACGAAAACAGGACCGTCCCAAGATAAGACGTAAAAGGAAAAAGATTCTTCTGCAACCTAAATAATTAGCTTAGCATATTTTCCCAAGCATTCGCACTAAATCGCATGATTGAGATTCCTCGTAGATAAGAAAAAAATATTTATAGCCTTCAATACTTTTATTTATTGTATGCCTTTGCAGATATATCTATTCACAAGGCACTGTTTACTGTGTAATTTATGAGAAAGTGAATATTGCAGGTGTGTTGGAGCCTTATAGTTCACGCATACTGAAAGAAGATCAATTGTGTTTCAGTAATAATTAACTCAGCATTCTACGTCTTTCATCGCGTATTTGTAGCACTGAATTACCACATAGGAACAATAAGCTGACAAGCTGGTACATTTATTTATTCACTTTTTACTGCTAGTTTGCTTTGGAAGCCATAAGCAGGAGTTGGTTGTACAAAGCGATAAAAGAGAAAAATAACTAACAGTGAATTTATCTTGTGGGAAAAGGAAATAAAAATAAGAGATCTGTCTTGCAGAGTATTTACTGCATGTTAAACACTGTAAACAGTATAATATATTAAAAACACAAAATACTGCAATTTAAAATGCCGGCAAGCAAGTACATGAAGAGAAAACATTATAATAAAACAAACAAACCATACTTTAAAAATATTGTTGCTGATCAAAGTTATTGGCAGGATATTCAACTCTTATCAAAACATTCATATCGCGAAATGAGCGCAAAAGAAGTTAGCTGCGTTTTTAGAATGGTTAAAGAGATTAGGACCTTTATCTTCTATACCCGAAAAGAAAAAACAACTGTTTTTTTTCAGTGGTATTTTTGTAGCCCTTCACAAAGGCCTCTTAATGAACACACACACACGCATATATATATATGACTTTCCATCGCTAATCCCGTTTCTCCCTCAGTGAAGCAAGTCGTCAGTGATGTGCACATTCTGGTTAAATTGCCTGCCTCAATACGAATAGTTATATATACAAATTGAATAGTGAATAAGCTTTGCGTAACGAAAAGCAACAATCTTATGATATTCCGTCTCTTTTATTTGGCCCACGACGAACTCGACGCTCATGAAAGTACTATTTATTTATTGATCTCTCTTCGCTTTTTTGTGGACTACTCACCTTCATTCACGGCGTCCCTCAAATAGGACAAATAAGTGCTGGCGTCCACAGATTTTTCGCAGTCTCGACCGCAGTCGCAGATCCCTCCATGGTAGAACTTCTCTGCCGTTCCGTCGGAGGCGAATGTAAGGTCCGCCTCAATAGCGTTCACACCTTGACCCACAAAATTGTCCACGTCTTCCAAGCTGTTCGCCATGTGACCAAAGACATAAAAAGGGCGGGGCTCACTGGATGCAGATGCCTGAAAGGGCCCACAAGAGTGCTGCCATTGTTATTGCTATATCATTGACCTCATATTCACAAAACGCGGAGGATACAACGCTTGATGAAGCCAATGTGCGATGGTTTAAAATTTGAATGTAGCTGCTTATATACCGCATACGTAGCTTCTGCGCAATAGAATAAAAGATATGAAGGTTCACTGCCTCCTTCCGTCAATGTGGCTGATGAAACAACTTCTGGCAAACAAATGCCATTTATAATGGCCAGTCATGCACAACACATAAAAAAATGGGGACCCCAAAGCTTACCTTTTAGGAGTTGAACGCAATGCCGATATTCTCTTCCTAGTGCGCACTTCAAACACTTAGCGCATGAAACCTTTCCAAACTTCTTATGCCCCTCCTACGTGGCCTTGACGAAACAAGCGCAGTAGCATGGGAGACTTTTGTAGTCGGTTACCGACTTTAAACCACGAAGTCGTTTTTATGATCACATGTTCTGATTCCCAATGCCAACGGCGCTTGTACCACTCATTAATACTGCAATACTTCATGTTGTATTGTGAAGCATATATACAGTGTGTTTGTAAAGCATGTTACTTAGGCTGCCTTTGCAAGCAGAGGAAGTTATGTTCACGGTATTCACAAGCAGACGCATGACCATGTGGTAGCACATCCACTTGCTGCGCAAACGACCCGGGTACGATCCCCGCTCTGACCCAAACGACCCGGGTTAGATCCTCACTCCGACCCAGACTTTTTGTTTTATTAATTTTTATCGTTTTCAACTTTTCGGTCACGCATAAGTTCATAATTTCTCGCTCTCACTCGAACGACACCGACGCCAGAATTTCTGCGAAGCGAGTTTTTTAAAGCCATTGCATTAAAATGTTTTTGTGAGCAGTCGTACACTTCTTAAGTTGACGAAGTCCGTAAACTTTGCAATAGTAAAGCACCGAGCTGATCCTTGCCGTTAGCGGACCGCGCTTGATGTACACCAGCCACAACATCACTAATAATAAGCAGTAAATAGAGCTTCGCTCGATCGGAACACGTGTCGCCATGGAGAAAGCGACTGTTTTCATTTAAAAAAAGCAGCAATTGTTGAGACATCAGTCTATCATGTGAGACACTGTCAAGCTTACGTGTCGTCCTAACAGTTTGAAAGCAACAAGCGTTTGGATTCAACAAGTCATGGACGCAAGCTACCCAACTGCTCAACTACGATCGTGTAAAAATTTATCTTCGGCAAAGATTCTGCTTGAACTTGTAACGCGATGAGGTCATGTATATCACAGCCGTAAGAGACCTATCGTTACTACAATGACAAAATGCTCAAAGAAAAAACTGCGTAGACTCTTTGGTGTTCTGTGGTGAACTGCAGTTGCTTTGGAGACGCATTGAAATAGGCAATGAAAACAAATGCTGTTCATTACTTATCCCACTGGGTAGTGGTTTTGGGCAATGTTATACCAAAGAAAACGTGGTCTCATCGATTGGTTATTATGTAAATAAATTTGTTCAGGGTACTTCCTTGTGCATTTTGATCGGTCATGGTTCGCGTTAAGGATCACTCTGTTTTCATTGGTGAAAAGTGGTTGAGAGTCAGCCTTTGTGAAAGGAGGGGATGTCCCAATTTGTTTTAACAGTGGAGCCGTTGTTTCCGAGAGTTGTACCATCCCTGCAGTGATGACACCATTGCTGAATGAACAAAAAAAATCTGCCTAGCATTGTCGTCACCGCACGCGGCCTATTAACCGGTGGCACAGGTGTGCACAGCTTCGTGCCTCACCCAGGCTTACATCGTCAGCCGCACCACGTATGCCCTCCCATACCTACCTCTCCGACAAAAAGAAAGAGACCGCATTAACGCGCTTCTACGAAGTTGCACAAAAACAGCTCTACGCCTTCCCCCAAGCACATCCAATGACAGACTCTTCAAACTTGGTGTACATAATACATTTGAGGAACTCGCTGAAGCCACCTTTACGGCACAAATATGTCGTCTGTCTAATTCGGTGAGTGGCCGCGCTCTTTTGACCCAATTAGACTTATCCCCAATAACAGAATCACCTGGAAGGGTCCCTCTTTCTTCTAACCTCCGCTCTCACCTAAACGTACCGCCCATTCCCAAGAACATGCATCCTGTGCGCGACGAGAAACGCAGAAAGGCAAGGGCCCGGGCCCTCCAGAGACAATATGGCGAGGACCAGAATGTAGTCTACGTTGACGCAGCGGAATATGCGTCAAGATCCCGCATGGCCCTTGCGGTGGCTGACAATCAGGCAAATCTCCTAACTTCTTGCTCAATTGTCACAAATTCCTCCACAGAGGCAGAAGAGGCAGCCATCGCGCTTGCTCTCATCTCCACACCTGCCACCACTATCATTAGCGACTCGAAATCAGCTATTCTTAACTACGCCAATGGCCTGATATCATGTAGCGCTGCTCGCTTGCTACGCTTCTGGCAGCCTCAGTGCTCCACAACCCTGATCTGGACGCCAGCACATGCCGGCCTCCTTGGCAACGAGGAGGCTCATTCTCTAGCCCGAGGTCTCACATTCCGGGCAGGAGAAATGGAGCCCCCTCCACAGGTCGAGGAGCGCTTGCTCTCTTTTCGTGATATTCTATCGTATTACCGGGAACAACGAAGAATATACGCACCCCCAGCCCCATCCCTAAACATAGCGCAGGCCACACATTGGCGACGCCTACAAACTCGAACTGCTCCATACCCCGTATTACTAAACGCCCGTTACCCAGACCATTTCCCCTCTTCATGCAAACTTTGCGACAAACCAGGAGACTTCCTCCACATCCTCCTCACATGTCCCACCTTCCCACATCCCCCACCTCCGGCTGTGGCAGTGTCATACTGGGAGACCATCATGACCAGCACTTCTGCGTTCGATCAGCGCCGGATCATCTCGTGCGCCATGAAGAGGATCGCACTTCAAGGGCTTTCCTTTGCTTTGTAAGGGTGCCTCCTCACTGCGAGGGTGCACCCACGTGCCATGAGGGGGCTCGGCCCCCACGCTACACAGTGGCAATAAATGTTTCTACCACCACCAGCTTCGTGCCTGCTTCGCACACCCAGACAGGCTCCGAGTACATCCTTCCAGCTGTGCGCAGCTGTGCACACTCCGCAACGTCACCGCGGCGAGCTTAACTAGAGTATCTGTCCAGTAACCGTGACTGTGGTCATAGACTTTCCTAAAACTAACAAGAGGGGACTTTGGCGTGGCGATCGTTCAGCTACCGCGCGAATGACGGGTAGTACAGGGATTTGCCTATAGTCTTCGTACATCCGAGTGGCGAATCGCACTTGTGGCTTCGTTTATTGCTGTGTTTCGGTTTTGTTTCGAAAGAAAGAACAAAACCTTATGACCTTCGTTACTCAATTTGTAAGGGTAAGAATAATATAATAAGGGGGTTTAGCTCAACCGCGGAACGTTTGCCGATTTTTGTTTCGTGAGAAAACAGCTGCAAGACACACAAACACACTCGGGTTTAGAAGTACGAAGATTAAACAAATCCGTGTACTACCCATGATTCCCATGCTCGCTGAAGCGCAGTGCGTTGTAGCTGGCATAGACACTAGAGCCAGAGTTTACTCTGGTGTATATTTAGAAAACTCTACGACCATGGTGAACTTGTGCTTGGTTACGCCCACTCGCCTCGACACTGCGCCTCATCGATTTGCTTCGCGAGTCGTGACAAGAAGACTGGGAATGGGCAAGCTTGCACCTGCACGCTTCACAAGGATGAGTTTGTATTGGCCTTCTTTAAAGTGAGTCCAATGCGAAGCCACATCCCCCACCTAGACGAGGACGAAGTGTTGCGGAGTGCCACGTTGATGTGTGTAAGGAACGGACTTGAAGACGCCGAGGAGCATCAAACCAGAACTGAAGAAGACGAGCGGAGAGCAGGTGGCACGAGGGCGACAACAAGAAATGAAGAAGAAGAGAAGAAGGCACGTGCGATTACAAGGCAACTGTGCGCCAATCAGCCGATGACCAGTGGTGGCCCATAGAGGTGGCGTGCCACGATTGGGCCACGTGCGGCCATTACGTGGCAGTAGGCTTTGTGGCTGGGGACGAGCCGGAGCAGCGGCAGACGGGGGACAGCGGGCCGAAGCGTCGGACGCAGGGGATCCAGGTTCCGGCCAGGGAACGCGGCCGTCCACGCTGCTGCCGTCCAACCACCAGCTGGGGCGGCATTGCCGGCACGAGTACTGCATCTCGGGGCGCGGCCTGGCCTGCTGTTCTCTTCCTTGCCGAGGGCATCGCGGATCTCGGCGAGGCGTCTCCGCGGTCAGCCGTTCGACACAGCGATGAACGTGGCCTGGCTAATGGTCACGGTTGCGTCGAGCATCGCGTCTCGGCGCACGCTCTTCGCTGGACGGGCTGGCCATGCCCCGCATGGAGCATCGCGTCTCCTATGCGGGTTGACTGCTCCGTGGCCGCACCCATGCCAACAAGCGCCGGTGTCACCAGAGCGTCGCACACCGTAAGGGACGAGCGAGACGTTCTGCCGGGAGAGACGCGGGCGTGTGCACGGAGGACCACGGAGCCGGGCGAGGTCCAGGGTGGCCGAGGATTGAGATGCCAGGGGAGTTGCTGGCTGAATCGAGGATCGCCAGTGGTGCCGAGCCGTACCGAGAGACGCGCCAGCCTCGGAAGTGGGCCGCGAGCTCACGAGGTGCGCACCCGAGGGTACCTGGCTGTGCCCTGGCCAAGGCGACGAACGCCGGTGAGTGAGCTGCCGCACCGCAGCTGTAGCGAGCAGCATTTCAGCACGGCACAGACGGTGCTGTGCTGGCCAGAACCCGCACGTGGAACCGCTACGCCCGGAAGGTGATCAAAAGCTTGGAAACGAGGTCCGAGGTCGCGCTGGTCAAGGCATCTCCGCCACTGCAGCTCGAGAGTTGAGGCCACGAAGGCAGACGAAACGGTGTGCCGCTCGAGAGGACGAGTTCATGGCAGCGTTCCAGACCCGGACGTGAGACCCGTACGTGTCGGCCAGGTCGAGCTCCGGTGTGTCTGTTCAAGGTCCAAGGCCGAGACCTGCCGAACGGCTCCTGCCTGGGTGCAGTGGCCGGGAGCAGGTTCGTGGACGAGGCCTACCGGGTGTGGTCGTCATGAGCCGTGGCCTGATCCAGGACCTCCGGAGTTGCGACCCTGACTGCTGGGTTGGCCGCGACGTCCGACTAAACGGCGCTGCACACGGTAGCGTATCCGTGCGTCGTCAGCCGTTCCACCCATGCCATGAAATAAAAAGTTCATGTTAATGCTTTCTCGTCCGCTATCAACAAACATAGTGACGAACGTCCCTTTAACCATCACAATAAATGGCGAGCCTGCCAGGATTAAGCTCTCGCGTTACATCTGAGAGCCTCACGTTGTTTGTGTGTGGCGGACGAGAATGGACGACAAGAGAAAGCTAGTTGAGCTAGGGAAGGAGATAGAACTGAGTGGAGAGGCTTTGCTGGCAGGGGTGAGCGCTGAGAAAAAAGAAATGAGGAACCAGAGAGCGAAAAATCGAGAGGAGGCACGTCTAGCAGCACAGGCAGAGCATGAGCGTGAAATAGCTCGCATGGAGGCTGAAAGGCTCCTCCTCGAAGAGCGGCGTCTGTTCATTGTTGTGTGAGAAAAGTTGTTTTCCCCCTAAACAACTTTCTTGAGCAGGGGGATATTGTAAGGAACGGACTTGAAGACGCCGAGGAGCATCAAACCAGAACTGAAGAAGACGAGCGGAGAGCAGGTGGCACGAGGGCGACAACAAGAAATGAAGAAGAAGAGAAGAAGGCACGTGCGATTACAAGGCAACTGTGCGCCAATCAGCCGATGACCAGTGGTGGCCCATAGAGGTGGCGTGCCACGATTGGGCCACGTGCGGCCATTACGTGGCAGTAGGCTTTGTGGCTGGGGACGAGCCGGAGCAGCGGCAGACGGGGGACAGCGGGCCGAAGCGTCGGACGCAGGGGATCCAGGTTCCGGCCAGGGAACGCGGCCGTCCACGCTGCTGCCGTCCAACCACCAGCTGGGGCGGCATTGCCGGCACGAGTACTGCATCTCGGGGCGCGGCCTGGCCTGCTGTTCTCTTCCTTGCCGAGGGCATCGCGGATCTCGGCGAGGCGTCTCCGCGGTCAGCCGTTCGACACAGCGATGAACGTGGCCTGGCTAATGGTCACGGTTGCGTCGAGCATCGCGTCTCGGCGCACGCTCTTCGCTGGACGGGCTGGCCATGCCCCGCATGGAGCATCGCGTCTCCTATGCGGGTTGACTGCTCCGTGGCCGCACCCATGCCAACAAGCGCCGGTGTCACCAGAGCGTCGCACACCGTAAGGGACGAGCGAGACGTTCTGCCGGGAGAGACGCGGGCGTGTGCACGGAGGACCACGGAGCCGGGCGAGGTCCAGGGTGGCCGAGGATTGAGATGCCAGGGGAGTTGCTGGCTGAATCGAGGATCGCCAGTGGTGCCGAGCCGTACCGAGAGACGCGCCAGCCTCGGAAGTGGGCCGCGAGCTCACGAGGTGCGCACCCGAGGGTACCTGGCTGTGCCCTGGCCAAGGCGACGAACGCCGGTGAGTGAGCTGCCGCACCGCAGCTGTAGCGAGCAGCATTTCAGCACGGCACAGACGGTGCTGTGCTGGCCAGAACCCGCACGTGGAACCGCTACGCCCGGAAGGTGATCAAAAGCTTGGAAACGAGGTCCGAGGTCGCGCTGGTCAAGGCATCTCCGCCACTGCAGCTCGAGAGTTGAGGCCACGAAGGCAGACGAAACGGTGTGCCGCTCGAGAGGACGAGTTCATGGCAGCGTTCCAGACCCGGACGTGAGACCCGTACGTGTCGGCCAGGTCGAGCTCCGGTGTGTCTGTTCAAGGTCCAAGGCCGAGACCTGCCGAACGGCTCCTGCCTGGGTGCAGTGGCCGGGAGCAGGTTCGTGGACGAGGCCTACCGGGTGTGGTCGTCATGAGCCGTGGCCTGATCCAGGACCTCCGGAGTTGCGACCCTGACTGCTGGGTTGGCCGCGACGTCCGACTAAACGGCGCTGCACACGGTAGCGTATCCGTGCGTCGTCAGCCGTTCCACCCATGCCATGAAATAAAAAGTTCATGTTAATGCTTTCTCGTCCGCTATCAACAAACATAGTGACGAACGTCCCTTTAACCATCACAATGTGCTTCGTGCAGACGTGCAATATCTGCAGGTATACATCGATGCACGACGCATCGAAGTTTGTCATAACTTCGAAACGCCGGGGCCAAAGAGGTGCCAATCAGCTATCTATAATGCTCTTTTTCATTGATTGCTTCACAGAATCCGGTGCAACTTATCGCAATGCTCGCCATATAGATGAACCGATGATTGTTTGTATATTAACAAAAGTTCGTGGTTTGTTAGTTTTAGCACTCTGTATATAAGCCAGCTCACCGTTACTAACACGACCAATGACAATTATATCTTATTTACTTTAACAAGCGCAAACATATACGTAACAACCTTATTCTTTTGTTCCATTAAGACCAAAAAAATTATACAGCATATACTTGCATCGAAGCTTGTCAACATGAAGAGGAATGCCACTTCGAGGAACATAATGCAGGCTCGGTCTTTCCACAAGTCAGCCTGGCAGTCGTCTGCAAAATTTTGCAGTCCTCTATAAACTTTAGAAAATGATAATATTCAAGACATACCATAATTTCCAAGCTAACTGTTTATCAAAAGAATTTCAGTCAGAAGCAAAGTAGTAAGCATGGATATATCGTCCATTTTGAGCACTTCAGACACCCTGCCGTGAACAGTGCGACGTGAAAGCGAATTCGCTGTCAAAGTTGTTAAAATATAAAGTCAAAAGAGTTCCTTACATACCATGCAGGCCGAAGCACTCTGCTGTACTTCATTCTATTTGCTGCGTTCGCATGTTTCAGTAAAAAGGTTACTGCAAGGTCGCAGTGCAGCTGCATGAAAGTTACTACGAAGTTCACAATCTGTTGAGCGACGTCTGACACAAGCCTGAGGCAATCCCAGCGCGTGTTACGCCACGGAAGCCACAGCTGCGGCAAGTCGACGCTGCCTTACCTGTGTTACCCGTACACAACGACTACAGTGGCTTCAGCTGGTTAACGTACCGTGACACGACCTCTTCACAACAGCCCATGTAAGGCTGTTTTGACACCAGTTGCGTTCCCTTTAAATGTGATTGCTAAGTAACTCCGCGAAGAATTTGTTACCTTTGGCTTTCGGCCCATACCCAGAACAATAGAAGGGCTCAATGTCAGCTGCAGTTGCATCCAAATCTGGCACAACAGCACCTGATCAATATGCAAGCTCAAGGTAGCAATGACTGCAGGTTGCATGGGAACAGGACTGCGAGAAAAGCGTAATGCATGCTTGCAGCCTTAAAAAAGTATGAGGAATTACGAGCGCTTGAGCGTGTCTCTTGTGAAATTGCCATGTACCGCTCCTTTACTTTTCTCTCATTTAAAGTCCTGCTGTGATCGGTGATAAACTACGTGCGAGATTAAGTTTATTCGGGTGAAGAATCATTTGTTAACAGAGGTGGTCTGAAGCCTTCAAGCTGTTTCAAGGTACAAGATCTGGTTGAAGCTTGCCCATCACCTTCACCATATTTGTTTCGAGACATCTCATGACCACTTGCGAGTGTGTCCTTTAGATAGCTGCTAGACATTAGGTGCCGCTACTGAATGATAAAGCATACCTATATCGAAGTTCCGTGACTTCCTCTCTCTCTCACTTCTGCCGTGAACCTGGTAACATTTTCGGTTTTGATTTGTTCCAGCGTTGGCGATGGTATTTTGCACTCTAGCCTATTTTGTGGCAACATTGTGCACACTGAACATGTGCATAAGTAAGAATGCAGTATTACGTAGCCATAGCTCTGGTGGCGTATCGTCGCATTTATGAGGTTACTGTAGCTATATCTTTGAGCACGCCGCAAAGAAACAGCCAATCGAGGCGGCCCGCTTTGCCATTTATTTTGATGGCTTCGGACTTTTAAACTTGTTGTTGAAGTGTGCAATGCAGAAAAATCACCCTTGTTTCTATTACGCTAACAATTAATTTACGAACGTCGTATTAGGATTTACGTAACTAAAATGCTATTTGATAACAAAAGCATTTATTTCAATGTTTATAATAGGATATGGCCGCTACGCCAAAACACAGAGAATGTTGTCTACTTGAATGATATAACTGCCCCCGGTCTTCAACGGACACATGTACGACGATAAGCTTATTTTTGGTAGTTCGGATACGGAAGGATTTGAAATATTCACGTGCACAAGATCTTTTTTTCATTGTAATTATGGTAGCCATGTGTTCTTCTTCCGGACGGCATTAGTTGATCTTTCAGTCGTAATTCTGGCTTCTTATCCAGGCTACAAAAAAAAACTTTAACAACAATCATAGAAATCTGCCAGCATCATATGCCAGATGTATCGACAGCACACTCAAATGAACATCAGTGCGCTTTATTTGGCTACTTTACCAGGAACGACACTACCATAGAGTAGCCGAAACTTGCTGTTTAATGTTTCAAACATTTTCATTTTCGTCGGCGCTCATTCATTTTCTTTAACCTTTATGCTTCTTTCAGAGATAACAATGCTTCGGCATACCACCGCCTTCACAACTGTTACGTCGTTTGTGACCAGCGGGCTCGTTTCAAAAATGCTGCCGCTGTGGTGAGCGAAGGGACCTTTTGTGTTTCCCGCCGGGGGGGTCTAGTGGCTAAGGTACCCCGCTGCTCACCCGCAGGTGACGGGATCAAATCCCGGCTGCGGCAGCTGCCTTTTCGATGGTGGCGAAAATGTTGTAGGCCCGTGTGCTCAGATTCAGGAGCACGTTAAACAACCACAGATGGTCAAAATTTCCGGAGCCCTCTACTACGGCGTCTTTCATAATCATATGGTGGTTTTGGGACGTTAAACCGCACGTATCAATCAATCAGACCTGTATGTGCTAACTAGTCACTGTAACTAACTAAAAATAAACTAGCGGTAGAAGCACAAGGCTTGGCCCACCGCGGAGGTCTAGTGGCTAAAGTACTCGGCTGCTCACCCGCAGGTCGCGGGATCGGATCCCGGTTGCGGCGGCTGCATTTCCGATGGAGGCGGAAATGTTGTAGGCCCATGTGCTCCGATTCGGGTGCACGTTAAAGAACCTCAGGTGGTCGAAATTTCCGGAGCCCTCCACTACGGCATCTCGCATAATCATATGGTGGTTTCAGAACGTTAAAACCCACAAATCAATCAAGCACAAGACTTCCAAAACATCTCACACAAGACATCAGCGCACGCGCATGAGTGGCAACGCCCCGGGGAGAGCTCATGCGCATCGCAAGGAGAGGGGCAACAGCCTTCAGAGACTGCCCTTTGCATCACCTTTGCACCATATCGCGATGCTTTGTAAGCGAGTGGTTTCGTACCACGCGCTGCGGAGCAAGATGTCATACGTTCGATGCCAACTGATGGAACTTTTAGATGCGAAGCATCTTTTGCTCGGGTCTATGTCTCGCGGGGTCGGCGTCCGCAATCACACTACGCATGTGCCGTGTATTTGCCTAAAATTAACTAGAGGCGACTCTGGGGCTGCGATCTTTGAGCGACCATGAGAATGACGGGTAGTACAAGGATTTGCCTAGTCTTCATACTTGTGGGCGGCAAATCGTATTTGCGGTTTCGTTTATTGCTGGTTTCGGTTTCGCTTTGAAAGAAAAAAGGAACCCTTCTGAACTTCGTGACCCAATTCGAAAAGGTAATGCCTAAACGATCAAGGTGGTGAAGCTCAACCGCTGAGCATTTGATGATTTTTGTTTCGTGATAAAACAGCTCCAAGCCACACGAACACACACGAAGCCAGGAGCAGGCCAGAAGTAGGAAGATTAGACAAATACGTGTACTACCCATCATTACCATGCTCGCTTAAGCACCGTGCATTGCAGCTCCCGTAGACACTTCTGCCAGAGTTCCCTCTAGTGTATATCAGGGAACACTTTAGCATACACAACTTTTCTCCATCCCTATCTGCAACTACTCACAACTTTTAGGGGCGAAGCTCCTAATAGCGGCACCTGTTAATCCCTCGTAGCCGTTGTAGCATGTAACGAGTATAGCATTCTGACCTTCAAGGTGATGCCGGTGAGAGATTTCTTCCGTGCGTTGTTTAACAATAAAAATAGTCCTCAATGTACATGCCATTGGCTGCTAATGGGGAATGAGAGACAGCAACATTCGGCTTTTAGATAACGCGCACGCTGCGATCCTTATTGTCAGCCATTGGCATGTACAAGGAAGCGCTATCTGACAAGAAAGGGTTGCTACGTTATACTCGCTGGGTGTAACATCCTTAGTTTTGGAAAGGTTTAGCGAGCGTTGAGCCACAGTGCCATAAATAAAATGAACTAGTATGTATCATGAATGACCTCGAGGTGGTTAAGGTAGGAAGTAGATATGAAGCGCAAGCCGTAAGAAAGTAAAAGCCTAATACTCCTGTCTCTTTTTTCCCATTAGCAGCCATTCGCATGTACATTGAGCACTATCTGACAGGAAAAGGTTGCTACGTTATACTCGCTGGGAGTAACCTCCTTGCTTTTAGAAAGGTTTAGCGAGCGTTGGACCACAGTGCCATGAATACAGTGAACTAGTATATACCATCAACTCGAGGTGGTTAAAGGTGGGAAGGGGACCCGAAGCGCAAGCCGTAAGAAAGTGTGCGTGTGCCACCTCTCGTTTAGTCCTTGGAATGTCCGCTGGATGGCGGTGCTTCTATATGGGGAATATATGATGAAAAGATGCGAGATGGGGGTACTTGGATTGTTGAATAGATGGACGAACAAACACACAGACAGATGCATGGATGGACGCATGAACGGACGCAGGGGCTGATGCATGGTCGAACGCAGGGACGTACGCACGAACAGGCGCACGCACGGACGGAAGCAAGAACAAATGGACGGACGAATGCTTCGCCCCACTCTCCATCATTCACTCCGTGGATATGCTGCCAATTTTTTTTTCTCTTATCACCTACTCGCACTATGCCCCCCACCCCTGTCACCTCGGAACGCCGAGAGAGAGAGAGAGGTTCAGGAAAGGAGAAGATGCTCGGAACGCCGATGCCGGGAGTGTCCGCTAACGTACGGTCACTCTTTCACATCATGGCGGTTACACGACGTTTACAACACGGCGTTTACAAGGTCACCATAGCGCATGCGCGATAGCTCTCCCTCTCTCTCTTCTCTCTCGCTTCTAAAGACGCAGGCAGCATCCGCTAGCAAGTTTTGTAATGTAATAAACCATCTGGCCGGGCTGCACAACCGTTCACTGGCCAGCCCGCATATATATGCACTGAATCGTGACCTCCGCCAAGGAATCGTGACCTCCGCCGTGGGAAATTTCTCCTGCGCGTTCTTGAACAATAAGAATAGCAGCATGCGTGTTAACTAAAAGCGGACGGCGGGTCTCTGTGTCCAATGGAAGTCGTCTGTTTCATTGCGCATTTGCTGCGATGGACATGTTCAAGGACTGCGTGCTTTCCGCTCACCCTTCTGAGCAACTCCGCGATGAGCGCCTGCGTCAACGTCACCGCCAGTGCAAGCGTTAGCGGCCGCTGCGTCACCTCTACACACGGTTCGCGTTTGTACGTACGCTTGCGTGCGTGTTGAGGTTCTCGGCTGCTAACGGCGGGTTCGATCCTGCAGCGGCAGGTGCATTTCGACGGAGGGGAAATCGTAGCGGCCCGCGTACTTTTCGACGTCAGTGCACGTTAAATAACGCCAGATGGTCACAATTTCCCGAGCCCTCCCCTACAGCGTCCCTCACAATCATATTGTTGTTTTTGGGACGTTCAATCTCAAATAATAATAAGTCATGGGATTAATCATCATCACGTATATTTCGATGTGACATCGCTGTCCACTCAGGTACTCAATTTTTCACCATAGTCGACTTGATTTGCTACTGTGTGTACATATGCACTATTTAGGTCTGCGTTGAAAACGTTGAAAACGTTATACAGTACTAAGATTATGATACGAAAGTTTGTAATAACATACATTTTTGAACACGTCATTAGGGTGGATGAGACTACGTGGTTCTCGTATACATTAACCAAAACTCACAGGGGAGCCTTTGCATGTTCTTAATCTAAAGACATCTGTTTTCTTCTCACTAGATGTAGTAAACACAAGCCGCAGTTTCACGTGCCACTGTGAAGTGCCGTGTTCATTTTCTCTTGGTCGGGGCGCATGCGCTCCGGTTTTGTTCGCCACGCACAGCGGGGCTCTTCAGCGACATAATGCGGCGTTACGTAACATGGTGTCCCGCCAGAATAGGTTACATCCTAAGAGAGAGGAAGAGAGAAACAGATGATGGGAAAGGTAGGCAGGTTAACTAGACGCACGCCCGCTGTGCTACCCTGCACTAGAGAAGGGATTAAAGGGAGAAAACAGATAGGAGCGTGGGAAGAAAGATACACACAATTACGAGAAAACTCGGGAGAGCACATGCAGTCTACAGGGGGTCGCTCGTGTTTGTTATGTTTTAGGTACTGTAGTAGCGCTTCAGTCGCTTTCTGCTTTATTGAGGAACGTGCAAGGTCCCAGAACCTTGCGCACAGAGAATGGTCTAGAGTCAAGTTGGTTCAAAGCTATCCGGAGTTGGCATCGCTACGTGTCGTAGGAAGTGCAGCTGCACAGGACATGTTCGACGGTCTCTTAAACTCCGCAGGAGTCGCATGTAGAGGTGTCCACCATACCGATGGGAAAGAAGTATGCCTTTGTGAAAGCAACAACCAACCAAAGGCGGCTTAACAGTGCCGCATCAGAGCGGGAAAAATGCGATGGTTGCTGTAGCTTGAGTGAAGGATTCAGTTGTAACCCCCGTATAAGAACCTCCCTTCACTCAACTCTTCGCCTGCGAAAGCCGACGGGAGCGCCATCTCTATAGGTACGGCAGGTCACTGCATATCAGCGATAGTCTGCTGAGATTCTTGAGTAGCGCAGTGTCAATTTCAGCCGAGTGGTCGTGCAGTTCTCAACTCTTTCAAGCGGAGAGTGAAAGTCGAGTCCAGGAACGTTTGTGAATACGGGGGTAAAAGTTGCGTCCCAAAATTTTGCCATCAGTAACGTCATGGTTATCACATATGACGTCATAGGTGGCGCGCCGACCGTAAAATTGCCAGTTTGTTGAGGCATCTCTTGGGTATTCACCTTAAAACACAGAATAAGTTATGCCAGTAGCCACCGTTGTTCGATTCATTTTCCACAAACAGCGTGACAAGGTGAACAACGTGGAGTGTGTGGAATTTCCTCGCTAAAGGCTGCGGCGTGAAATATACTACTTATGGGTGTGCTAATACTTCCAACTGTGTTTTCGTGAATATGTACTTATGTTGCTGTCATGGGTGTTTAGGAGCAATCAATTCCTGTGGCTGTCAAACGTTCGTTGTTTTGTATTTTTAGAACATTTGTGGCGACTGTGTTGATAACAAGAGTTACATAGCGCAAAAAAAACACCGCACACACTAAAGCTATCTTTCTGCGTTTTTTTTTATGTGCAGCCTTTTTTTGGCGCTAATTCTCGTCAGTACAAGCAATATACAAGGCCTCGAAAAATCCCATTACCTACTTGTTCATAATCTAGTCGTTCTAGCTTAATGCAGTAACCACGTCGTTACTTCTTTTCGGGATGATGTGCGACACACTGAACTCATTTAAAAAATACTGTAACCTTGTACACATTATAGGGTCGTTAATCCCTGTGCACACAAACGCCCATTACACTGTATATACAACTTAATTCGGCACAGCAGAGTAAACGCTGTTTGTTGTAGCACTGTTGCGCTGGATGAAACTTGCCCACAGTTTGGCGCTTTCGATTACTAGGACTACCACGGGAGCACATCACCACTCGCTATGCTGCATTGGTTAATCGACAGTGGTATTCTTACCTGAAAGCACAAACTTGAAAGAGGCGTTCTAGCAGGAGTATTCGTCTGAGGCACGGTCAGGCTGTGTACACTCCACACAAACAACCCGTCTAGTCTGATATTCTACTGTAAGCCGCGGATGCTGACAACTGTAGACGGGATGCACGCCATCTGCTCTAGCTCGCAGAGGAATTGTCACCAAGCTAGTGTGGAATTCCGCAAACGCATCGTCCCTACATCTGCACAAAATATGTGGACTGATACTTTAGCGTCCCGCCTTGAAATCCGCTTGCTCCGGCTAGTGAAATAGACAGTATGCGTCACTCAGTAACGAAAAATGAATGGACGGAAAAATCTAGAAGTGCAGGTATCTTCTGAAAGAGTGAAATAAACATGACCGCTGTTATCACGTCGGCCTTATACGGATGATGCCTTACTGTATACCGTGCACGTGATTGATCCGGGGCCGTATTTTTTTATTGCTTCCTAACATGCTATATCGCTTATTTTTGCCGGTACGCGAAAACGGCAAAAAATGCTTGAATAATTTCCACCTTTGGTGATAAACTATTCACTGTCCGTAATAGACAATTGCAGTTAATTTATAGCACTGTAGAAACTACGCCCGAGTATGTACTTTTAAAAGCCGTTTCAGCTTATCCAGCGCGAAAACTACACACCACCGTATTTCGAATATACTTTACACAACCCCCGAAACAACTGAAAAAAGCTCCCGCCGCGGTGATCTAGTGGCTAATGTACTCGGCTCCTGACCGCAGGTCGCGGGATCGAATCCCGGCTGTGGTGGCTGCATTTCTGATGGAGGCGGAAATGCTGTAGGCTCGTGGCCTCAGATTTATGCGCACGTTAAAGAACCCCAGGTGCTCGAAAATTCCGGAGCCCTCCGCTACGGCGTCTCTCATAATCAAATGGTGGTTTTGTGACGTTCCACCCTACATATAAAAAAACTTACAGAACTGTTTCAGGAACTTCTATGTGTGGGCTTCGTAATCGATTACATACCAGCTGCAAGTGTTGCGAATGCCTTTACATTCAGTTGTGAGTGCTGTAACAATACGGACAAAACTCAGCGAGTGAAACTGGTAGCAATAATAGTGGAAGAATGTAACTGTGCACTCAGAAGTGATGTGTGATTGACAGCCTCTGATTAGTGTCACCAAGTATCCTTTGCAAAAAAGGCTGTCGTGACATTGCGCACATAAAGTGCTAGAAGATTTGCCATAGCAAGGAGCACTACCTCGTTGTCTTACTCGATATATGTAGGTTCAGCTATGATGTAAGAGGCTGGCTTATTCCAAGCCTGGTATCCGATCTCACAACTTGACATTTAATTCACTTAATTACTTCACTTAAGTGTTGGTTTGGGCTTGCTGCAGCATTCTTTGCCATGCGTAGTGGGGCTACGCGAAAAACACGGGATAAGGGAAATGCACAGAAACGGCTCAAGGCTGCTCCCGTGAGTTCATTCGGATTTCATAGCTGAAGAATATCTTAGCGAACTTCGGCAACTTTGAGCGTATCTATCTATCTATCTATCTATCTATCTATCTATCTATCTATCTATCTATCTATCTATCTATCTATCTATCTATCTATCTATCTATCTATCTAGCTATCTATCTATCTATCTATCTATCTATCTATCTATCTATCTAGCTAGCTAGCTAGCTAGCTAGCTGCTTATTTTTGGGTGATCTCGTGGTCACCCCCTTAACTTGGCCTGCATTAAATTAGTATGGAAGAATATGACGTGCTCGTCAAAACATAAATAATGTCACAATCCAAACGCGTACGTCATCAAACACTTGCCGCCAGACAGTGGCACATACCCACGGGTGCCCGTGTGCCACTGGTATGCGGGTATGTGCCACAGGTGATTGACACTCAGTATCTACACGGGAAGGATGAGAACGCACATGGGCAATTTGAACGCGCGAGTGTTAAGCAATACCAGACATCCGTAGCGTCGATCCAATGAAGGCATAGAACAAATGTCAGCGTTAGGCAGCGTTGACCTTCCGACGAATGCAAGTAATAAATTTCAGGGTCCCAGCAAGAATCGAGCCAGAGCATTCTGCCTGGTAGTCAAGCACTCTACCACAGAGCTACGCCATGTCTCGAATTTACTTTTCAAATAGACGCTAATCTTCGTGAAACGTCAATTGTGGTTGCAGTGCTACCTACTCAATTTTAAAGACATTACATATGTGCTTCTTTGATGCAGCCATCACGTCGGGTTAACGTGAATTGCGGTTAGGTACCATGCGCTGAAGTCGAATAATGTAGCTGTGCCCAGGACCAGCCTCTTCGTGAGCATCAGCGTTTCATATCAGCTTTTGGTTTTTCTAATGCACGTGTTGCAGTTGACATTGCTGCGCAAGTAAAAACAACTGCTTATATAAACATCTGCAACTCTTGAAATATTCCTGTGCGTGCAAGAATTTGTACATATATTTAGTGTCATTTCATGACGTGTCGCTCAATATAAATAATTGCAACACGGTCACCTTCACTCCGCATGGTTCACCTATCGTCGATTTCCAGGCACGTGGGATCCACCGAATTTTTTCAGTGCCACTCTGCTACGTGTCTCAGTGTTTTTCTGAATGAACTCTGCTCAATATTTGCCTTTTTTGGCCCCTCCGTTCAATCGGTGTTTGTTCTGCACAGCACGCTATACATGACTACCACCTTTGCCTAATTACACTTGGCAAATACGTTTGTTCCCGTTTTCTGCTTGTTTGGGCGTTTCTCTTTCCTACAATGATTTTTTACGTGGTCCTACAGTTCGCTTGTCAGTATAATGTGCGGGTAATCTTACCTGCGATTGTGGTTGGTACTATCTGCTGGTATCTAGCATCGTCGACGTGCCGTCGTCGGCAGACTAGCCGGGTAGCAAAATGATCATCTTTCAATCTCCCATGTGCGCCCTTGTTTACAGCAGCTGCTAGGTGTTAACTTGCTTTCGGTAAAACGCTCCGTGTTGGTACAATACCGCGCCACTGTGCATGAGCAATTCTGTCAACAGATGTGCCTGAATCGGAGCAAACGAAATTTTGCTGGGTATGCTGTGCACTGTCGCGTGCTGTTAGCTGTACAAGACCTTGTAAAACAGTCAACATGGATGCCTAGAACTTGCGTTAATTTTCTTTGGTAGACGCATTCTCTGCAGCTACAAGGCCCAACTCTCCCAGGGGCCCCGGGCAGGATTGGGATGCTAACATTTTCAGGAAATTTAGTGGCTTTATCATACAGAAATGCTTAGCTATAAATAGCTTATCCGAAACTCACTTCTGGCAGAACTATATGACAGTTGCATATAAAAAACAAGGATATAGGTAATGATAAAAATAAAACATTGAAATCACAAGCAAAACGATTTTTATTCGCAAATCTCAGAAACTAAAGTTTGTTCACAGTATGACTCAAGAGGGTGCGTAGAGCAGGATCACCCCGTTTGTTTTCGTAGGAACAGGTAAGACGGGCGAACGTTCGGCCTGTGCCAGTTTCAATCAATCATGTCATGAGCTGCACTAGACCAAAATACTTGTCTAAACCATGGGAGCTCACCAACTGAAAGGCTATGTTTCAGCTCCGTTACCATGTATGAATGATGCTTTTCAATTGCTTTGCTTGATACAGAGAACTGAATCAACCAAAATTGACGTATGAATTGAACTGCACTCCGACGCTATATTTCAGCTCCGTTACCATGCATGAACGATTCTTTTCAAATGCTTTGCTTGATACAGAAAACTGAATCAACCAAAATTGACGTATGTATTGAACTGCACCCCGATGTAAGATGTGGTTCAACTGCCTAACAAAATTACCGCAGTAGTAGACCGCTAACGAGCAGCGTCATCGCTGCTGCATGAGACGGAATCACGCCGTGTTCGACGTGGCAATGGTTGAACTTGCATCTTCAACGAAACAATGATAGTTATTTTGCGGTTATGCCAGAGTGTTTGTTCCTGTAATAATTGATATGTCACCCATTGTCAATCAAAAGTTCATTGTCAACCCCATTGTCAACCCCATTGTCAATCACAAGTTCTAAACAATTTGTAGCTCTACCTCGAGATATGATATAGTTTAACTTATTCCTGATTTTTTTGCTGTCAGAGACGCCTTCAATTATATATAGATAATAATTTTGTTTTGCTTGCCGTTGGACTTTCGTAACTGAATTTCTGTATTTTTAAACGTATTCAAATCATCTGAATTTCGGGTAGCTAGAAATAGGTTAAATAATTTATCTTTTTCCTTCATCATTTTTAGTATCTCAGAAGTCATCCAAGGTTTGCGAGCACGCTTTGGCTTTTTCAAAGCCCTAAGAGGAAAACGTTTATTATAAAGTGAAATGAACGTCTGCATAAAATAGTCAGAAGCTAAATCAGCCGTGGACAAGAGAAACAAGTTAATCCATTTTGTTCGCTCAATTTCAACCCGAAAGTTCGAAAGAGATTTTAAATTCACTGGTCAATATATTATACCACAAACGGACTGTCTGGGCTGATAACGGGATTGGGGCGCAATGAAATATACAGGGAGGTGGTCACTAATCAGGATAGACATAGTGCCTGAAAGTATGTATTCTGAGGAAACGTTTGTTACGAACAGGTCTAATAATGTTGTACTCGATTGAGTAATACGAGTAGGAGTGACAATGACATTTGATAAAAAGTGAGAATCAAGGAGGGTGCAAAGATCCTTTTGTTTTTTTGTGTTTGCTAACATATCAACATTCAGGTCAACTCCCATTATAATGCTATGATTATGCTCATTTATGAAAGCAAACATCTGATCCAAGAACTGCATAAAGTTGTTAATATAACTATCGGGAGGTTTGTGCACAGTCACAAATATACAGTTGTTTAATTTAACATATACAATTTCACAATCATCCAAGCATTGACACCATTCATTTAACCATTCGTATTTCATTTCAAGTTTAAGGTACGTACATACACGACCTCCTGCTCTTGTTTTTATATTTAAGTGCACTGTATTGTAACCTTCGATAGTGATAACATCCAAGTCATCACGATACCACGTTTCTGTAAGCATTATTACGAAAAAATTAAATTTAAACTGATCAAGAAGAACAAAGAAGCCGTCGTCTTTACAACGTGCGAACTGCATATTATTACAAAGTACAGCTAGGCGTGACCCGCCCAGATTTCCAAAAAGTGTGTTTACTTGACAGGGAGTAGAAGACTTTATATTAGTATTCATTTGCAGGTGATAGAGATAAATACATATAAACAGGCAATAAGGTTACTGAGTATAACAATGTAGCAGCTCTTGAATAGGATGCATAAGTAAAAGTAAATAAATACGTAGTAATGATGGTTTATCATTATTTGCAGTACCACACTTTTGTTACACAACTTTTGATAACCAAACATAGATATAAAGAAGTGATGCATAGTATTTAGAGCAATAACATTATACTTGTTGTGAAAAACGTTGTCACAATGACATTTTTAAAAGCCGCGTTTAAAGAATCTTACTTGCACAGGGTAAAGGAAAGCCTTGAGAAACAACTGGACAGGCTCAACCTGTCATGGTGTTCTGAGGACCATTTGGCTAGGCTGGCTGAAAGGGTGCTCCAGAGCGTCAAATCGTGGGCAAGAGGGTCTGAGCATGATAGGTGCTTGAAGTCTCTGCCGTTTGCCAGAATTTCGTACCTGCATGGTGCCTCACACCGTTCAAAGAAAGTGGGAGCGAGGTACGGCTGCAAAGTTACTTTCTGGCTGGCAACCGTTTAGGCAGCGTTCGCGTGGCAGTGGAGAAGAAGGTCGATGTATAGTGAGAAGCAAAGCGTGGGTATTCGCCAGGTAAATGTCAAGGCCAAAGAGGTCGATTGGGCTGTCGCTGTGATGTAGGACATTCCGCTTTCGTCAGGGAAGAGTTATGTTGGACAGCGTTGTATAAATAATAAGATTATGCATCACAAAACGTCTCTGATAGGACAACAGTGCTCTAACCTTTCTTTGCATCGTAGTGAATGCTTCTGCGCACCGTCGTTCGGTGATAAGACAGTGACATCTAAGTGCAGGAAGAAGGTAGCACAGAAAATCGCAGAAGCGTATTTCATCATCACGAAAGGTGATTCATGATACCGTGAATCCGTCAGTGGCGTTGCCGCTGAGGTAGCTTTTCCGGAATCTATCTATCTATCTATCTATCTATCTATCTATCTATCTATCTATCTATCTATCTATCTATCTATCTATCTATCTATCTATCTATCTATCTATCTATCTATCTATTTATCTATCTAATTATCTATCTATTTATATATATCTATCTATCTATCTATCTATCTGTATATCTATCTATCTATCTATCTATCTATTTATCTATCTATCCGCCTACGACTTTTAGCTCTCCTGGCCCTTTCAATAATGGTACCGATACGAAACTTGGTATGGCGTAACATGACTGCATTAAGAGCATACTTGACAGTCATAACTTGAAAATCGTGACATGTTTGTCAAGAATGTTATCATTGACATTTCATGGTCCTGCAGCTCTCGCGGTGGTTTTGTTCACATGGCATGTTGCAAAACTGGTATAGTATGGAATTATTGCATGGCGAACACAAGCGACAGACCCTAACATGAAAATCATATTATGCGTTTCATGTAACAACATGACTACATGCCACGCTCATGCGCTCGCGGACGTTTCGCTAGCGTCACATATACAAAATTTGGTATTACAGTACGTGAATGAATGACGAAGGTATGTGACTGGTGCAAACATGATAATCATGAGAAGCATGTCATGTAAAACATGACTACATGCCACGCTCATGATGCGCTGGCGGCCATTTCGCCAGCTTCACTTATACCAAGTTTGGTATTACGGGACGTGAATAGATGACGAAGGTATGATACTGGTGCAAACATGATAAACGTGAGATGCGAGTCCCATAACAACAAGACTGCATGCTACGCTCATGATGCGCTTGCGGCCTTTTCGCTAGCTTCACATGCACCAAACTCAGTATTACGTGACGCGAACGGACGACATAGGTAAATGACACATCTAAAGATGATAATCACGACATGCGTGTCATGTAACAACATGTCTACGTGCCACACTGATGATGCACTCGCAGCCCCTTCGCTAAATTCAGATATGCCAAATTCGGTATTACGTGACGACAATGGATGACGAAGGTATGTGACTGGTGCAAACATGATAATCAAGAGATGCGCGTCAAGTGAGGACACAACTACATGCCACAGTCGAGGTGCCAATACATTTCGACGTGATGTGGTGCGCGTGCTCGTCGGCGTTCATTTCGTCGCGTCAAGCCGGCGTTGCGACGTCATGCGCTGGTCCTGCTATTTCTCGCAGGCGCGCGCCGCGCTTTACTTTGATGCATGCGCGTTTGAGCAATACCACCTAGACTATGTCAATAGTCCAGGTGGTGTTGGTTTCAGTGCGTCCGGCGTCCTTACGTTACGAAGAGAGGGAGACGCAGTGTTGTCTTGGTAACGCATCGGTGCGAAATGCAGCATGTCGCATGTCGTGCCGATTGCTGTCGGGCAGCGCCTACGGACGCTGGTCGCGCCTGGCATAAGGCTATAGAGTGCTCGTGTTTTGCTTACGAAGCGTCGCTGTGCCCAACGTGCGCACGCGTCAACGCTACATTGGAGTATATTGGGCCCTTCATGCTGCGCTCGCGGCCGTTTTGCTAGCTCCACATATACCTAATTTGGTGTTACGTGACGTCAATGGATGATGAAATTTATGACAGGTGCAAACATGATAATCCTGACACGCGTGTCATGTAAGAACATGACAAATCACCATGCTCATAGCGTGCTCGCGGCTGTTTCGCTAGTTCCACATATAATAAATTTGGTATTACGTGACGTGGATGAAAATAAACGACACATAAAAGCATAAATATCTTGACACAGTAGTCATGTACGGCAACGTATACCTCCGCCTCGTAACGTTTTGGTGCTTTTAAGGGGGCGTATCAACGTTCCTCATTCGTGCTTCGCATTTCATCGATTCCCACTGTACGTGCGGTCTGCCAAATTTTGATTTCATTGAATCTATTTGAGCATAACGTTAGCATTACCAGCTACATCGCGTCGTAGCTGGATAATACTGACAAATCAAATATACACTGGCAAAGTATTGTGATTGGGCTAGGATTCTAACCTATTTTGTATTATCACCAATAAATATCTCCAATTCAAACAATGCGCTTCCATGGGCTATCCTGGGAAGTCGCAGGCCGGTACATCTTCGAAAACTCATCTTCTTGGAGGACCCTCAGAAGAGTTGATGGATCATTGGTCAGCATGCTATCTATATTCAACCTGAAAAAAAAAAAACAGATAGGTAAAGGTAAATCTGTTTTCAGCGATTTTAACTAGACAACATAGCGTCACTGAATTATTGCCCCGCCGTGGTGGTCTAGTGGCTAAGGTACTCGGCTGCTGACCCGCAGGTCGCGGGTTCGATTCCCGGCTGCGGCGGCTGCATTTCCGATGGAGGCGGAAATGTAGTAGGCCCGTGTACTCAGATTTGGGTGCACGTTAAAGAACCCCAGGTGGTCAAAATTTCCGGAGTCCTCCACTACAGCGTCTCTCATAATCAAATGGTGGTTTTGGGACGTTAAACCCCACAAATCAATCAAATCAATCAATCAATCACTGAATTATTGACTGTCCTTTTTCGATTGTTGTTTCTTTTTCTTTTGTTAACGTTTCAGCTTCGGTAGCTAAAGTGCGTTGTGTATTTCTCATAGCTAAATCATTAATTCAGTAGGGGCTACGACGTATGAACCAAACTGAGCACCATATTTTATATTTGCATGGGTTTTGTCGACAGCTGCGCATAGCATGTCGCAAGACCTACATAAATTGTTCAGAACAGCGCTTCGAACTCATGACATGCCGTGACTAGCACCTTGTGGGTGTTCCATAATAAACTAAGTAAAGGCACTTGAAAATAAGATTTGGTAGTTTCTTTTAACATGCTAGAATCTTCGTAAGACCCCTGAAGGAAAAATTCAAAATTTAGATTTACCACCAGCAATCTCTATCAGTCAATAAAATGTTCAAGTGTGTGGACATTGATGTAATTTTTTTCTGACTTGACTCAAACTGAAATTCATCTCTCTTCTCAGTTTGGATGAAGAAATAGTATTGATACGATGTTTATTGTGTTCCGCTGTCAGTTTTTTTTTTGTTATGTTGGAATACTTTAGGTATAGCCTTGCACATGAGGTCACCACAGAAGAAGAAGAAGGGTTCACGAAGTTATCTTTTATTTTCACACGTTCTCTAAAAAACGGCATGCATAATCAGAGTTCAAGAGTGTAAAGCATTCTACGTTATATTATTCAGCAATTGGTGTGTTTTCCAGAAAAAAAAAGTTGAACAGACTGCTCCTTCCGTGGACACATGATGGAGCCTTTCATGTTCTAGCTGGCATGCAAAGAATTGGTTGGTCTCAGCTTTGCACCAAAATGTTGTATGTAAAACATAATTATAAATTTATTACAGCACTTGATTTCATAGCTACGTTAGTTTTTAGTGCGTATGTTATTTAAAAACTTGAAACACGTATTTTCAATACACCTAAAACATGACAGATGCTCTTCCGACATTATCGCTTTGCAGGCGTAAAATTAAAAAGCATGAGTGGATACATATGTGTATGCTTTTCCTCGTGAGATACGCTCAGGCATGGAAGTAGCCAGGAAGTGGTAAACCAAGGTCCTGGAGCCCACCGCCCAAGACGTTTGCCGTAGTATACACAGCAGAAAATAACACTCGACCACATCTGCCACACGGCTTCTACTTCAGACAAAAAAAAAAAACATTCAACACCCCCTTCCCGCCCCCTAAAAAACTCAACCTATGACAATTCGCTCAGGCTCTGAACATTCTTGGCTAATTACTCCCAAAGCGTAAATATAATATCACTGATTATTATATACCCATCCTTGCCTTCCGTCTTTTCATCATGTTGCCATCACTGCAGTAAAGATTGGCTCAACAAGCCATAGTCGAGCGTTCCTAAAATACGCCTACGAATGCTGGGTAACATATACAGTATTGCAGAGAACTTACAGATAATAACGCGAGGAAAAGGGGACGTTATAGATGTATACGGTACGTTATTAGAAGCAATTTTATTGTGAGTGAGAAGAAAGCAAAATGGGCAAAAAGATAACTTGCCACAGGCAGTGACCAGACCTGTGACCTTCGAATAACGCGTCCGATGTTCTACTTTTCTAAACATATACATTACAATTACTTGTAATAACATTCCCTATAAGTTTTCTGTCGTCACCCCACCACGGTGGTCTAGTGGCAAAGGTACTCGGCTGCTGACCCGCAGGTCATGGATTCGAATCCCGGCTGCGGCGGCTGCATTTCCGATGGAGGCGGAAATGTTATAGAACCGTGTGCTCAGATTTGGGTTCACGTTAAAGAACCCCAGGTGGTCAAAATTTTCGGATTTCTCCACTACGTCTGTCATATTTACATGGGGGTTTTGGGACGTTGAACCCCACAAATCAATCAATCAAGTTTTCTGGCATTATTATCTGTTATCCTACACAAAATATGGCATGGTTGCATTTTTTTTTTGTTGCGATCAAGCAGCTCTGCTCAAACGGGGGCATCTACGTTACGTTTGTCCATCGGCTACCCGCAAGTTCAGTATGCATGTATAGAATTTCCACAATATGTACACAACTAATAAATTTAAGCAAAGATATCGATCTATCTCATAACAATTTCCGCAAAGAGAAAAACTCCCTCAGTGCTTCACATGAGTTTGATGTCCACAAGGCACTGGATCTGTCTTATACGAGCTAGTTCGCGCCTTTATTGTGATACCAGCTGTGTTATCTACAGCTGCATTATACCAACTAGTCTCCAGAAAAGGGCTTCTACCTATGACACTGAAACCGCCTCGACACTACTTATAGCGAATACCTTAAGAATCGACGCATGTCGATTGGCGTGTCGACAGTCCAGACGTATGCCTTGTCCACATAGTCGTGAGTCGTGTTCGCAGCAGTTCGTCGTGATGTCGCATCTTTGGTGCACGCTTCCCAGTAAATCTCGATCAGGCAGTTAGTGGCCCCATCGCCCTGCCAGCGATGTTGACTAATACCCAGCTCTTCGTATTCGTCGGCGACGACGTTCAGATCCTCGCATCCACTGATGCCAAAACCTGCAAATCAAATTGCTCTGAGACCATGCTGCATCTGCTTTAACGCCCTTGCTTAGGTGACATAAAGGGAAAAAACCGCATGGCAGCTGCGCTACTGTGAACCCTGAGAAGGTGCGCATCATGAGCATGCCTGGTGATTTGCTTTCAAGCAGTTGCCATAGTCTTGTTTCCCAAAGTGTCCATAACTCTAATGTTTCAAATATGCCCGAAGCGATTTTTTCGGCGTGAGTAGAACCTTCTTAGGGAGATTCACAAACTCGGTGTGTGATGCGTATTACCCTGGCCTTTATAGACTTTTCATTCGCTACGGCAGTTGAGATACATGCCCCTACATCGAGTTTAGTCGGGCAGGTTGTTTATTCATCAGGTGTAGCGACGCAGCGCTCTCGAAGCGATGGAGTGGGGCGTTCGCTCACTCAGATAGCAGCGCCGCCTTTTATAGCATGCCCCCGCAGTAAGCCGCCGGTTTTCCACCCGTTTTTCAGTGATTTGAAGTTAACCATTGCGATTATTTTAACTTAATTTTGCGAATTATGTCAAACATTGTTCTTTCAGTTTAAGCCTGTTTTCAGCATTTTCAGCCTTGTTAGGACCTATATTGATCGCTTTACCGTGAACGAAAAGTCAGGTCACATGAAATGCGCCGATGGACTACAGCGAGGCTCAACAGGTGCTCAGCACTTCAATAACACAGGCATAAATATATATAGATGATACATAGGCTGGTTACCGAAGTACCACCTCCTGGCTACTGCGTGTCTTTGCGCTGCATATATGTTCAAGAATGGTGTTTATGACCCATCGACAATGATGAATTAGCGCTTAGAAGCAATACGCTGACGTCGCGATAAAGACTAGTATGTTCGTAGCTAAAATGAATAAATAAACTTTAAAATACGTGATGCCTGTTCGCAGGTTTTTTTATAATAATAGCGCTTCATGACATAGCCATCAAAGAGGGCAATTAACAAAAAAACAATTATTTCTTTGTTGCTGCTGTCAGGTGCTTCACATCAGTAATGTGTGAAAGGTAGGCAGTCGACAGACGAGTTGCATAGGGCCCAATACCTTGCTTCATTGGACTAAAGTCAAAATTTTAAAGAATACGTTGCCACAACGCTAACCACACATAACAAAACATGAAGTGTTTGATTAGTTTTTTATCTATATTTTATAGTACATCAATATCAGTATCAACGCTTCAAAATTCGCCCACAACCTCTTGCGTGCGGCAACTGGTTGTTTCTATATAATGTCATTATTGATAACAATATTGACAATATTACTAACATTATTACAAACGATTTTCAGAACTCAGGTGTACATTAGCATTCTATTAAAGACGCAGGGCTAACACGAATGCAAGAGATAAAGTTAGGACATAAAAAACCACCTTTCCTACAGCCTATAGGGTGCGTTTCTTTTATTTGGCCGGTTCTTGCTCATAGTGCCAAAGCGTGGAGAATAAAAAACTGGGGAAGTTAAAGGGTGGTAGTGAAACCACTATGATGAGCTTCTGTTTTCTTGCACCAATGGAAGATCAATACATCGAGAGCTGAGCAAATGCAGTAGTAAGCCTTATTCTGCCAAACAAAAATTGCCCGCAGCTTCCCTCGGGGGAACACTGAGGAGGATGCGGAGCATATAATTGGTTAACGGGGTGTTAAAGTGCGACTTAGTTGGGTCGATGGCTAAATTGGTTAACGTGGTTGTGAAATGGGGTGTTAAATTGCGACTTACTTGGGTCGATGGCTAAATTGGTTAACGTGGTTGTAGGAGGGGGTGTTAAATGATTGAACACGTACACACGTATGCGAAAGGGCGGCGCTGGTCGAAGGGACGTCGATCATTGTGTTTGTGGATTCATTGGAATTCATTTCACCGCGACCTTGGACGTCGACGCGCCGTACAAACCAACCGACGAGCGGCAACTGAGCGAGCGAGCGCCGACCTTGAGTATATATACAGCGCGACGGTGCATGCACTGTCAGCTGTTGAATGTTCTCGAAGCGCGACGCCACATGCGCATCCACTGGAGAATCAGGAGAATTGTAGATGTCGAACGCGGTGTGTAGAGGAGGAAGGGTGCACAGATGGTGGAGGAGTGAAGCGCGCGCGTTGTGTAGAGGAGGAAGGGATGCACAGATGGTGGAAGAGTGGGCGACGGCGCGACGGCGCATGCGCGCGCGTCAGCTGTCGAATGTTCGAGAAGCGGTGCGGACGGCGCAGACGGCGCACTACAAGGCGCGAGTATAAGATGCTTCCGCATCTAAAAGTCTTACACCTTCAAAAGCTTCATTCGGTTTTTATTACACCCTGCATTCACGACACGTTATCCGCTAGTAGTCAAGTATTGGCCCAAAATATTGGAATGTTTCTTTGGCCGCTTCAGCCCAACGCTCCGCTTGCGATGCAGAAACTGCCATTTTAAGCTTTTTCTGGTACCTACTGTCCTCGCAACTAGCCATACCATTGCGTGAAATCACCAAGTCTGATACTTAATGTTTCAACATCGGTTGCCGCTGGAACCAAAAATTCGATAACTTGTCCTCTTTAGGATTGCTATACTGCTTTAGTAGAAGAGAAGTGAGTTGGTCGAAAAATTAGCTCCAGTGACACTCTGTGTTAAAAATTCTTGCTGTCGTCAAGCTTCCATCTCTTCCGGGGCATATACCCTTTTTCAGAAATAATCGTGCAGTTTGACGTCATGAAAGCGCCGATGTCAGTTAGTTTACCACAAAAAAAATTGATCTTGGTGTTAGAATCAAATACCTTCTCAGCATTTACTGAAATTCATATTTGCTAAGACCTGTCTGTGCATTCGATAAATTATCATGGCATCGTAAATTCGAGTTCGAATATTAGTCCCGGTACCCCTTGATGGAGCACATGGTGTACGATGGAACAAGGAATGGCCACCATGACTGCAAGAGGTAGCCACAAGAGTCACGGTGTGTCAGGGACAAGACTGGTTTAGCTGAAACCATAATACGTTTTGTCCAAAAAATATGAACCAATGCAGGCAAGTGGTCATCATTACACATAACCGATGAGTGAGAGAGTCGTATACAAGCAACAATGTGAGATAGAAAGTAAATGTAAACATTCAAAATGTTTGTCTGGTTAGGTAGGTAAACTGGGAAACGCTTTTCAACCAAAAATAACGTGAAATGCGTAAACCCGTGTTTCAGAACTGGCTTAATTCCTTTCTCTGGGGCTACCTTGCAGCGGCGTCTTCAAGGCACTCGCGGGGCCGTTAATGACCCCACAAACACCGCCCTCCCGTTTTGCCGCGGAGCGTAGTCCGTGTGCATACTTCGGGGTAAGGGCCGTTCCAGGCGCTTCCCGCACAGCCACAACGCACGTGCCGGAACCCCTCTACCACAGGCCAGCGGGGAACGAATAAGCCAATTGGTAACGCTCTTTCACCCTTCTCAGCGTCGCCAATTGGCTTGTTTGTCCCCGCTTGCGAAGGCACTGCGCCGTGCTCCCGACCGGGTTGCAGAAATTAGGTGCCTTTTCTCATCTTCTAACCACTACCACCACCGCTTGCGTGAGGTAGGGGTCCCATCACGTGCGTTGCGGCTGTGCGGGAAGCGCGTGGAACGGCCCTAAGGGTTTCGAGAGATCGGTTGATGTTTTGGGCCTTTCGCTGTATATATCACAGAACTCGAGTAGTAGCCTTCTCTTCAGTTAGTCTATCTTTCAAGGATGGTTGTTGCTTCGAAATCTATCTTGTGGTCAAACGTCTCAGAACGCTCGTCGACTGCGCTGCGCTCTTTGTTGAGCTTCCGGACGTCCTTCGCGTGTTGTTTGAGTCGTTCCTGTACGCTTCAAATGCGAAGCATTTCTTGGTGAACTTCAGCAATTTTGAGCATATCTATCTATCTATCTATCTATCTATCTATCTATCTATCTATCTATCTATCTATCTATCTATCTATCTATCTATCTATCTATCTATCTATCTATCTATCTATCTAGCCACCTACGACTTTTAGCTCTCTAGGCAATTTCAATGATGGGATCTATACCAAAATCGGTATGGCATAATATGACTGTGTGACAACCTTAGGTGACTAGTCATAAGATAAAAATCATGTCATGTATATCATGAACGTCATAATTGATATGACATGGTCTTGCTGCGCTTGCGGTGGTTTCGTTCACATGACGTATTGCGAAACTGGTACGGTATGACATGACTGCATGGTGAACATAAGTGATGGGCCCTAATGTGGAAATCATGGCATGCATGGCATGTAAGGCATGACTACACGCCATACGCTCATGGTACGCTCGCGGTCGTTTGCCTAGCTTCACATATACTAAATTCGGAATCGCGTAACGTAAATAGATGACGTAGGTACATCACTGGTACAAACATGATAATCATGAGATGCGTGTCATGTAAGAACATGACTACATACCACGCTCATGATTTCGAAATATACCAAGTTAGTATTGTATATTTCACACGCTAGCTTCGATATATACCAAATTTAGCATTACGTGACGTGAACGGACGCGAAGGTTAATGACACGTCAAAACATGGTACTCATGATATGGGTGTCATGTACAACATAACTACATGCCACGCTCATGAGACGCTCACCGCTGTTTCGCTAGCTTCACATATACTGAATTTGATATTACGTGACGCGAACGGATGCCGAAAAAAATCACACGCTCAAACACGATAACCACGACATGCGTGTCATGTGAAACATGACTATTTGCGACATTCGTAGTGCACTCGCGGCCATTTCGCTTCACATGTATCAAATTTGGCGTTACGCGACGCGAATAGATGACGAAGATAAAACATGATAATTATAATATGTATGTCGCGTAAACAAATCGCTACATATCATGCTAACGATGTGACCGTGGCCGTTTCGCTAGCTTCACATATACCAAAATTGATATTGGTTTATGTGAATGAACAGTGAACACAAATGACAGGCGCAAACTTGATTATCATGACATGAATGTCATGTGTGACATAAATTACATACCTTCCACTGCTGATGCTTGTATTACAAACGTTAGTGGTGCGATTGTTACCCTACCATAAAAACATATTTGCATCTCATCTGGATACCTGAGTGCGCATACATTTCTACTTGTGTTTACTGTGTACTACATGTTCGCGCCTCGCAACGTTTCACGGATTTTAAAGTAACATGTCAACCTTCCTCATTCGTGCTTATATCATCGATTCCCCCTGTACGTGGGATCTGCCTTTTTTTTTTGTCTCGCCTATAAACGAAGAAGGGCATTCGGCACATGGGATTTTGCAAACGACACCGGGGGTCCAGTCCACCGTTAGCCGGTCTTTTGGGCAGGGGATGAGGCGGCCCAGAAGGAAGGTATGTGCGCGATGTGCACCCCTCTTTTTTGAAGACCGGAGTAACATCTCGCTGGTTCCTTGTCGTATGGGATCGGTATGGGGTTCGGAGGGCTGCCAATTTATGCTGATTGAGGTTTCCGTATCCTCTGTTGCTCTGCGAGACGAGTGACGGCTCGTATAAAGTTTTTGGGGTTATCCGTTTTGTTTTAGGTCAGCGATTACGCGGACCTCTTCTTTCTGGCGCTCCGTGTAATCGGAATATATGTTCTAAGCTCTCCGGAGCAACGTGGTCACAGCCGAGGTCTTGTGGCAGGCGGGATGAGATTATTCATTGAAGGTAGCGGCTGGTGTGCGTTGGCTTCCTATGGACGAAGAACTCCAGGCCGTTATCTTGCCTTCTGGACGTCGAGAAAGGGCAAGCTGCTGCCGCTTTCACACTCGGCCGTGAATCATATGGCTGGGTGCACGTAATTTAATTGCTACAAATAAACAATTAAACGCTTTAAAATAACCGTGATATGTAATGTTTTCTATTTCGGACGTCTTCATGACGCAAACGCAATCGTTCATGTACCGGAGAACGAACCTGGGTCGAAGCGGCTAGTGATTGCTTCGTTACGTGGACGACTGGTATTGCGCCATGAAGGCAATAATTAAGAAAATGACTGCGGCCGAAAGATAAATGGTGTGCCTTTCTGGTGCCCGCTAACGAACAATCACTATCTGACACGTGGGCGCAGCTCTTCAGCACATCGTTTGGCATTCAGTCACTTGAAAAACCGCTGACATTGCCCACCTTAGCTATGCTTCCTGAATCATCAATATGCCCAGGCTTACCCACGTGCTCCAAGAAGAGCGGTGAACTTGCAGCCTGCTTGAAGGTGTCCAGTGCTCCCGCAAAGACGTCTTTATCGTTAATTGAGGACACGGTTACGACAACGTTTAGCATGTACTCCGAGGAAATTGCGCCTGGAAAAACGAGGCGCACATAATGAAGGTCAACAGCATGCATGCTTAGCAACATCGCAAAAACGTAAAGTGACAAAGGGGAAGAAATATATGCAACAACAAACGTTGAGTCGGGAAGTAAGTGCATCAAAAATATGCTCTTAGAGTAAAGTCAAACTATCTTTGCACACTATCTCAATTAAAAACATGATGGTCCTTTTATTTAAATGTTTTCATTCACAGAAATAATATTGCCACGCGCGTTTCTTATTTTAACTTATGCTTTGGTCTGTTTTCACCTACAGAGCCTGTCTGGAATGCTGAGCGCTAACTACGACCCACATCACTTGAAGGTTCACGATTATTGTAGATCGTTTTGTTAAGATCATACCCACTTCTCCAATGAATCAAATGAAAAAACATTATTTTAGTCCTGCAGGACGGGCTTAGCGCATAGCGGGCGTCCCTCACGTAGGGACTGACAGGGAGTACCTGGCGGCCGCTTCCAGTGCTCAGTGACTTTCACGCAGCATGGTAGCAACAAGAACGAGAAGTGTTTTATTCCCGGTTGGTTACAAGTATATATAGCTTTGGTTAACTGATTGATAACAGACACGTGTAACGTTAGGCAGCTCACAAAACGGGTTGGTTCGGGAGCGCATGCGCAACCGGACGATACATCTTCCCACGGGATAATGTTAGAAGTTGTGGGAAAGATTTGAGACTTGTTTGAAACCTGTGTGATAATGAAGACATCTTGGCTGATGCATTTGCCGGGTTGACCGCCTTGGTACTGCAGCTTGCGGAGGCGTGTACTGCGCTCTGCACCCTGAAACCACAGTCGTTCCTTGAAATCACGACGCAGTTGCAGACGGCTGTGATGGTGGCAATCTTCCTGGCAACGTCATCGGGAAAACTTCCTCGCTCTCTGAATCGTCGTCATCCAAGCACGTCTAAGATGGTTCACATGTGTCTAGAAGGTGTTGCCGATTGCGTCGGAGTATCTGGTTGTCCTCTGTAGGGACACGGTAGGATCTCGGTGCCTCAAAGTCCATGACTCGAGCCTTTTGATCCCATGTGTTGCCTCGTATTCTTACCAAGGCATCAGTTAGTATATGAGGCAACAATTACGGGTGTGTTGTCTGTAGCGCGACTGAGGCTGATGCAGAACGCAGAGCCAGCTCTCTAGCCGTCAACTAACGAAGCTGATCGGTTCCGCGAAGGCTAACGTGGAAGACCCGAGCACGGGAAAGAAAGGAGACTCCTTCGTTCGCACGGTTCACGAGCGGAGCTGTCAAGGTCACCCCCGTTCGGGACTAGAAGTGGAAGGTTTACTCTAAAGAGCGTCTGGCAAGAAGCAGGCCAGGTGCCGCCGTCTGAGTTTAAGCCATTGTTGGCATTCAGGGGTGCCATTGCGAATGACGCGGGCATTGATAATGACGTGGGGACGCGACCACATGGTTGACTGAGACGGTGGGAAGACGAGTATAACCTCCCCCGCTGTACGTCATTACCGAGTGTTGTGAGGATGTCGGGGCGCCACGCTGTCGCATACGCATCTGGTAAGCGCACAGAGCCCAACGGTGTACTCGCCGCTCTTAAGGAGGCTTCTGCGAAGCAACATTCAATGAGAGAGCTGACGGAGCTCGAGTGTGAGAACGGCCGCCGACGCAAGTCGGCCGACGGAGGCAGCACTGCATGGCATGGGAGAGAGTGTCACACGCGGAGAACCTGTCCCTTTGCGTGTTGTATTTAGCAAAGGCGCTGCGCCTTGCTCCCGATCAGGTTGCAGAAATTACGTGCCTTTCTTATCTGCTAACCACTACCACCACCTATTTGGCAACGTGGTTTTTACCAATGCAGTGTCTGTTGTAAAAGTGTTTCTGAAACTGTTTGTGGCAATGCAAGCCCACACGTGTGATTGGCTTGTGTGAAGACGCCTTGTTCAACCGAGGGCTGAAAGGGGGATGTTTGAATCTGAAAAAAAAAGGTGGAGCTTCGAGCTTGGACTCGGGCATACACCTGAGGCTGCAATAAAGCGTCTCTTCACCGGACTACAACTATTCCTTCGTGCTGCCACCGTGTACTCGAGTCATCGAGGGGACCCATTCCGAACCTCAAATATCTTCCCTCCTTAGCCAATGTAGGAGCTAGTCGTGGAGGAGGAAATTACCTGCATCTTTCTGTAGTTCAGGGAGGGGTTTGCGGAGTTTGGCGCCTAAGATTGCGGAGTTTGGCGCCTAAGAGGTTCTTCACTGGGGCTCGGCCAGAAGTCAGGCAGTCGAGTACGCATCCTTCTGCTTTGAAGCAATTCTCCAGGAGAGTGGCCTTCTTCAAGAGGAGTCGAGTGGTAGCAGAGTAACCCAAACCAAAAGTCCTCCCTCGTTTCACCTGTTTTCTTCGTGATCCTTTTGATGATTTGGACGCCCTTCTCGGCAAGACCATTGGACTGCGTGAATCTCGGGCTTGAATTCACATGCTTGAAGTCGTATGTGTCTTCAAACCGGTAAATTCATGAGATGAAAACTGCGGACCGTTGTCGGTACATACTTCCATTTTCTTTGATTGTCTCCCCCAAGAAGTCAATTAGAGTTATGCCGATTGTACATTTTGCCTTATTGAACATTATCCCAGCCTTCTTCGCTAGCTGAAGAACCATCTGGAGGCTGTCATCATGTTCTGCTCTTGTGCTCCCCCACACCAGTATGTCGTCAATATGTATACGCGCGCCTGGGGCCTGGTCAAATATTTATTTCATAGCTTTTTGAAATACTTCCGGCGCCGAAGAGATGCCGAAAGGAAGTCTCAAGAACCTGTAACGACCGAACGCTGTTCCACTTGTGCATTTTCTTGCAGTGGCCTCATCAAGCGTGATCTGATGAAAACCGGAGTACGCGTCGAGGCGGCTGAAAAATTTTGCTCCTGTCAGCTCAGCCTCTTCTCTTTTGAGTAGCTGATAGTGCGCTCGTTTTATGCACGCATTCATTCACCTCAGATCAATGCATATGCGAAGTTTGCCATCTTTTTTCTCACTGCGACAAAGGGGCTTACCCAGTCTGTTGATTAACTGACTTTAACTATAATCCCTGCGCGTTCCATGCGGTCAAACTCTTCCCGGAGTGGGTCACGTAATGCCAGGAGCATCCGTCGAACCGACTGAACCACTGGCGTTGCTTCTTTTCGCAGGACCAGGTGGTACGGGTGGGCAAGGCAGCCAATACCTTGAAACAACTCTGGTAACTTTTTGACAATCTGGTCAGTACTGCTTTTCTGAACAGAATCCACAGAACGCGAAACCAATCCTAAAGCCTCACTTGCGGACAACCCCAAGATGCCCTGGTTGCTCTTACTGACAATAAAAAAGTCAAGTTACTCGCGCCGATTGTTCACAGCCACTGGTAGCGTCGCTACGCCTACATGCTTGATGACGTTGCCTCTATACGAGCGCAAGATAGAGGGGCTTGTTCTCAAACACGTTTTGACTTCAAGTCTCTCAAAAATGGTGCGAGGAATTGAGTTGGCTTGAGAGCTTGTGTCTACTTTCACCTGTTTCGACGCGATTTTGGCGTCAATAAGCCAATCAGCTTCTTGGCCTATGTCCACATCAAGGATTTGAAAACCGTCATGTTCGTCACGCACACTGCTTACTTGAGCACCCTCCCTACTACAACAAGCAGAAAAGTGATTAGCACCACTGCACGAAAAGCATATTTTCCCGAACGCTGGGCCCTTCCCCCGTTCGTGAACGCGGTTGCACCTTGAACATTTGAATAGCTTCCGTCTTTCGAACTGCGCCACTTCAGTTTCAGGTTGGGCGAGACTTTGCTCTGCGTTTGGGGAGCGCTCTTCTCACGCTGCACATTTTTAGAATGCTGAAGCACTTCTATTGGCGCTACTTGTTTTTGCGCTGGAGCCCCTGCATTGTTTTGCTCCGCACATATTTCCTCCGCCTCTTACAGATTTCTTCGGCTTGCACTATGTAAAGTCCTTCACCTTCAGCAATTTCTTTCGCAGTTCTGGATCATTTATGCTGAACACAATCTGGTCTCTGACCATAGAATCAGTAAGGTCTCCGAAATCGCAACTTCGGGCTAACATCCTGAGCTCTCGTGCAAAATGTCCGAAAGGCTCTATCTCGGCTTGACACCTTATGCAGAAGACATACCGCTCGTGCACCTCATTCTGCTGTTGTTGACAGTGTTCTTCGAACTTTTTCGTCACTGTGGGATAATCTTCCTTGCTTTCGTTTTCTGAAAAGGAAAAATTGTTGAATACCTCTAGGGCGTCCTCTCGGGCAATGGTGATCAAGAGCGTGGTCTTAGCTGCCTCCGACCTTGGCTCTTTTGCAGTCTGCGTTGGTTGCAGGAACAGCTAGAATCGTTGCTTGAACAAGGCCCAATTTTTCGAGGTATTCCCTGAGAGTACCAGCGGCTGCGGTGGCATCACTAGATTCATTTCATCGGTGTAATGTTACACCCCTTCTTTCGATGTATTATTGCTTGCGCGATCCCACTTCTGTCACCATATGTTCTAGTGCTCAGTGACTTACACGCAGCATGGTAGCAACAAGAACGAGAGGTGTTTTATTCCCTGTTGGTTACAAGTATATATAGCTTTGGTTGACTGATTGATAACAGACATGTGCAACGTTAAGCAGCTCACAATATGGGTTTATTCGGGAGCGCATGTGCAACTAGACGATACAGTGGGCATGCTATACGGCCCACTGCTGTTCGGTGAGAATTGAGCTCCAAGAGACCTCTCCCACTTGTTTAAGTAGAGTCGGGAGGAGTGTTTCTACACTCCCAAAGCATGTGTGTGATTGTCACCGCGTATCTACACGAGGGGCACGTGTCGTTGGGATATGCATCAGGATAATAAACGCAAAGCTTGGCAAGGTTTGGGTACGTGTGGGTCTGTAATAGGCGAAGGGTTAGCGTCTGCGGCCTGGCAAGTTTCCCATATGAAGGTAGAAAAATGCGGCGTTCAAGGTAAAAGTGCTTTGTTATGTCGTTGTACGTAATGGTGCATCCCGATTGGTCTCTAACTCAGCGAGATGGGGTTGCCCTTTGAAGGCGTGGGTGGTAAGTGCACGCGCTGCATCATGGGTGATCTCATTGAGGTTGGATGGGGCACCAGGCTCCTGGCCAATTGGACAGGGAACCAGATGACAGTGTGGTGCTTCAGGGCACTCGGGTACGCGCTGCGCAGGATACGCAACGCCTGGTCGGAGATGACTCCGCGTTCGAAGGCTTTGATGGCCGGTCTGGAGTCACTGTAGATAAGTTCCCGTTTGCTATCGAGCATACTTATAGCCATAGCTACTTGTTCTGCTACTTCGGGGTTTCGGGTGGGGATTGTGGCAGAGCTAAGAATCTGCTGTGCGGACGATACCACGACCGCAGCGAAAGCTTGGTTGTTGTGATAGGCAGTGGCGTCCATGAACGAGACATGTCACTTGTCAGTTGACTGACGGCCGACGCTGTTTGCCGCTGTCAGTACTAGCGTGACTTTTCGTTTACTGGCCACAAGTTCAGCCACATGAACAGTTTGACCGGAACATCCAGTCTGCTCCCTTCATGCACGTCACTACTCCGTAAGAACATTTTTTAGCAATATAGCGACATCAAAAAAATGTAGCAATTTTTTCATCAGGGTTATAACACTCGATTACACCCACACATGTTCATATATATGAAGTGTATATAAACATCCTTGTAGAAATCTACAGGGGTCAACTACTACCATAGTGCTTCATAAAGGAAGCAACAGAACATCAATCAAGAAGGGTGTAAGGCAGGGGAACACAATCTCCCCAATGCTTTTTACCGCATGCTTACAAGAGGTTTTCAGAAGCCTAGAATGGGAACAATTGGGGATAAGAGGTAATGGAGAGCAACTTAGTAACCTGCGCTTCGCCGACCACATTGCATTGCTGAGTAACTCAGGGGACTAATTGCAACTCTTGATTACGGAGTTAGGCAAGGAGAGCAGAAAGGCGGGTCTTAAAATTAATCTGAAGAAAACGAAAGTAATGTACAACAACCTCGGAAAAGAGCAGCGCTTCGAGATAGGTAATAGTGCACTTCAAGTTGTAAAAGACTTTGTCTACTTAGGGCAGGCAATAACCGCGGAGCTGAACCACGAGATTGAAGTGACTGGAAGATTAAGAATGGGGTGGAGCCCATTTGGCAAGCACTCTCAAGTTATGGCAGTTTGGTTGCCACTATCTTTGAAGAGGAAGGTATATAACAGCTGTATCTTGCCGGTACTTGTCTACAGAGCAGAAACCTGGAGACTTACAAAGAGGGTGCAGGTTAAATTGAGGACGACGCAGCGAACAATGGAAAGAAAAATGGTAGGTGTAGCCTTAAGAGACAAGAAGAGAGCAGAGTGGATTAGGGAACAAAAGGGGGTTAAGGATATGATAGTTGAAATCAAGAAGAGAAAATGGACATGGGCTGGGCATGTAGCGCGTAGACAGGATAACCGCTGGTCATTAAGGGTAACTAACTGGATTCCCAGAGAAGGCAAGCTGGTTAGGGGGTGACAAAAGATTAGGTGGGCAGATGAGATTAAGAAGTTTGCGGGTATAAATTGGCAGCAGCAAGCACAGGACCGGGTTAACTGGGGGAACATGGCAGAGGCCATTGTCCTGCAGTGGACGTAGTCAGGCTAATGATGATGATAATGACACCCACACAAACAAACACACACACACACACACACACACACACACTATTTGTTAAGTGTATTTGTTATGTCTTCTGAGCCTCGGTATAGGACTTTACATGAGGTAAAGGTGGCCTAAATTGGCGCTATCGATGAAAGTGTTCATTAAGATGTGGTTGAGTGCTTCCTACGTACAGACAGACACATAGACGGACTGACCGTCGGGCACTTCACCCCACTTATCATCATTCACTCAGTGTGTGTGATTACTTTTCACAGCTCTTATGCGTAGAGCATGATTTACGTTCTCTTAAAAAAACTTCAACCATTGTAATAAACTTTTTTACATTTTTTACCTGATTCTTTCGATGATTCGTAATTTGATTATTCCTGAAATGGTATTAGGTCCCGAAAATTTGATTTAAAGAGCTTTTATCCCATTATATCTCTTTCAATATCACTAATGGGCAGTGTTATGAAAATCAATTGTAATAGGCGAGTAAACACGGCACAATCGAAAACACTCAACCATGGAGGAAGAAAAATAAAGGAGAAAGCATTACGTCACACAAGTGAAGGTCACCTTGATTCTTCCAATGATTCGTAATTTGGTTATTCCTGAAGTGGTGTTAGGTCCCGAAAATGTTATTTTTATCCCATTATGTTTCTTCCAATATCAAAATGAGATACTTAATGAGCAGTGTCATGAAAAGTATTTGTAATCGGTGACTAAACACGGCACAACCGAAAACACTCAACCATGGAGAAACAAAAAGAAAGGAGAAAGCATTACGTCACACGAGTGAAGCCCACCTTGTCGGCCCAACGCGTGATCAAAACGTCAGAGCATGCGGTAGCTTCTAGTACTCTCGGTGTTGTTCCGTCTATGAAAAACCTGCGTGAGACTGCCAGTGTGCGCCGAACAAGCGCATTTTGATAAGTCTCGTTTATTGCGTGATCTCATGGCAAAAGGTCACTTGTTGCGCCGACTTTGATGGCTTCGAAACGTGTTGGCTTGCCAAGGCTGGGTGGGAGAGGTCATGCTCCCTCCTGTGTTCTTCCTTCCTCCATGCACTCAACCCCCCGCCCTAATGGTTACGGTACTCGGCTGCTGACCCGCCGGTCACTGTATTTTAGATGTAGGTGGAAATGCTGTAGGCTCCTGTGCTCAGATTTGGGTGCACGTTGAAGAACGTCAGGTGGTCGAAATTTGCGGAGCACTCGACTACGGCGTCTCTCATAATCATAAGGTGGTTTCGGGACGTCAAACCCCTCATATTATTCATCTATCAATCAAAAACTCTCAATGATCAAGATTAATTTCTAATCATTTCAGTACGTATGAGCTGCACCCAACTTTCAAAGAGATATAATCAGTCTAACCCTTGCTACGGTCCTGTCATAAGGGACTCCGGCCGACGGCTAACCCCCGTATTCTAGAACTTCCCTTCACTCAACGCTTCGCATTCACTTGAGAAAGCTGATGGGAGCGCCATCTCTAGACATGGCAAGTCACTGCATATCAGCGATAGTCTGCTGCGATTCTTGAGTAGGGCAGCGTCATTTTTAGCCAAGTGGTGGCGCAGTGCTCAGCTCTGTCAAGTGAAGGGTGAAAGTCGAGTGGAGGAGCGTTTGTGAATACGGGGGTAAGAGCGACGTACAGGCCGGGCTTAACATTATTTACTGACGTTTGTTTATTTCAATAAAGTTTTATCTCTCTCTTTCTTTTTCTCATACTTATGTATTGGATATATTTTTTCCAAAATACGAAGGTGAGTTCTTGTGCTTTGTGCAAAATAAAAAAAAAATAAACATCAAACCATTGTCCCAAAGAAGGTTTATCAAGCTGCTGGCGAGGTTGATGCCGGCCTGGTATTTCGTGTCACTGGAAAGGCTCTCAGTTTTGCTGTCGACGTAGAGAAGCTGCAGCTTTCCAGCGAACTTTCCACCTGACAGGCCCAAGATAAAACATAAACAAAAAGGAGCATCAGGTACGTCAATAATTGAAACAGTAACTTAGATTACACACATTGGTTAACCATAACTGCTTAGCAAACGTAACTTTTTTTTTTCAGCGATCGCTGTATGTGGCTAGGAGAAACAAAAACCACCCGGTAGCGGTGTCATGAGCGGTCTGCAACGGCTGCGTTATCAGTTACGTCGTTCGCAGTGTCGTTCGTACCAATGCACGCCCACCACCAACTGCGCTTTGAGATAGCTCGCGATCACAAAAGCTTGCAACAACGCGGGGATGTGGCATCAATGGGATGATTACGAAAGCGCGTTCGCCGGGGTGAACGCTCCCTCTCAGTGGAAGTGACAACTCACCCACGACCTTCCATGTATCGATCGAGTGCACTGCGAACGTCTTTCTTCCCTCACCGGCTTTCCTTCACCCTTTACGTAACGAGGAGCTGTGGGACGATGCTTTCTGCGATGGGCCTCCTGAGGTCCTTTGAGCTATTACGATACAGCGGGATCGACAAGCCACTGGAGTCGTCCAATAGGGACCCCGGACCTGGGGTTCCTCCCACACCCTCCTTCTCTATGCCTTTATGAATAAAGACGTTCTCTCTCTTTTTTCTCTTTCTTTTTCCAGTGGCACTTTAACTTTGGCTGCGCCATCTGCGACCGCCTCTGCATGGCTCTAGAATAACCACTGGGATTAACCCATTGCGAAAAGCACTTAGCGCTTTTTACATTCTTCCGTGAGCGCGATCATGTGAGTCACAAAGTGCAGCAAAGGGAATAAATACTGTGCTAAACCCAAGCCAAATGTGTGTTTGACCTTATTAATAAGCAGGAGTATGTAACTTATAATGATGAAAGGTTTCAGTACAGCGTCGGTTTGAACCCTAAACATTGGGGCCTAACGCTTCAGCTTTCGCTGGTTGACCATTTGTACGGGGTGCTTAAGCGGTTATTTTTTTTCGGGGGGGGGTGGGCGTTCTCGTGAACATAAAATGATGGTTTAGCATCTTCGCAGGACGGACAAAAAGTGATTGATAATCTTCTGTAATTTTATTTACGGTATGCATTGTAAAAGCCTGGCACCACTTGTGAAGTTGTTTGCGCGCGTCGCGCAAGTGTCCTGCGCAGAAGCCGTATTTCAAAATCACAACTGTTCAGTGGTAGTTGACGTTGTGTTCGCGGACGTTGATCACCGCTATCATCGCTATTTAATTTATTTTCATTTATTTATTTAGAAATACAGTCAACCCTCTATTGAGGGTCATTACAGGACAGGTACGACACACTGTACAAACAAATTGGGGATATAACTATACATCTCCCAATGATGAACCAGGTATACATATATACAAATCCGTGAAGCTCTGCATTCCAAACGAAAAACGAAAAACTTGGTAGCACTGCTCGTGACCCCTGGCGGTCAGCCTTGGTGGCGGCTGGAAATAATTGAGCGAGTCTCTTCGGCTGGTGGCGTTGGGCGCAAACGGTTGTCTCTCGCAGTGGGACCCCGGTTCACGGCACCGCGGGCCGTCTGCCGGGAACCCGCGTTGTGAGTCAAGCGTTGGCGACGCCACCTTTCTTGTACTCTCGTGTTTCTTATGTTGTTAGGTGCTGTGCAATTTTGTGTAAGGATGCCTTAGTCCGGTGATCACGATGGATGTTATAATATTTTGGCTGGCGATATCGTCGTTCTAAAAGCAGTTAAATAAATGTGAGTTGCTTGGTTTGTTCCAACCGTGTGTACTGTGTCCAGTCACTCCAAGAGCATGGCGCTCGCCATATCGACACCCCACAGCATGTACGCACACAACAGTTTACAATGCACTGTTAGTTGTTAAGTTATTAAAGAAAAAACAGCAGGTGTAATGCAGCCTTAGAAGCCTACAACTCATACTAACGCATAGACGATTGTATTTTAATGAATAATTAGTCGCCCTTCACTTTTTTTGACGAACAACTTTTATGTGCCAAACAAATTTTGATAGGCAACAAATGAGCTGAGAATCTGCTATTCTAATTAAGACTCGTCAGGTTGTTTGCGATGCTATTCGATTTTTTTTTTTTTGCAAAAACACGCATATTGTAAAGCTGGAAGTGTCGAAGTTAGGTGAATTTTAGGAAGCATTAGAGAAATATAGACTTCTGTCGGAGTAGACACAAGTGTTTTAAGTTAAATTTCTGAAGCTCTGTAATGCTGCTTTCTTTGTTAGGTGTAGAAGACTAACAAGTATGTACAGCTCAGTGAATAAACACATTAGCGTACATGAATCGCCTACAATTATAAAAGGTATATCAGTATGGGAGCTGATTTGTTGAATGTCGACGAACAAAACATCATTTTCATCTTATTGATTCTGGAAAAAGGCACTACAAAGTATTTATTTGACTGCCAAGTCATGCACCGACATAAAGAACAAAAATACCAATAGCGCAGTTTTGGCAGGTCTAGATGAAACATAGGAAGAGACCATATCGCTTTCGGTAATAATTGTTGGCAGTATACTTACAAGAAGAACTTTTAGCTGACTGCTTTTGCCCTCCATTCCCCGTTCCGCTCAAACGTTCAACGCTACCGGAGCGCAATGAACGTTTTAAGTTTTAGCCAAGTATCAATTGGTCAACGCAATCGCGGCGCTACCGGTGCATGAAAGTTCTTTTAAAACGGAATAAACATAGTTGTTATCTTGAGGTAAGGTAGAAAATTATGTTTTAAAAGAGTGTGAATTCATTTACTGTTTGACGCATGAGCATTTTTTAAATTTTTTTGTCACCTTCACTTGCAGATGGACTACTTCAAAGCTTTCAAGGCAGGCGAAACGTGTTTCAAATGCGCTGTTTTTGGGCAGTGTATTCACCGCGTTGCCTTGTAGCAAATAAAACTAAAGAGCTTTTCTGAAAACGTGAAAGAGTGGGTGCTGTTAAATACTAAATTGTTCCTATTGTTATAAAAATTGCTTACAGTCAAATGTTCGCGAAGTCCTATTGACAGAAATAGCAAGGAAGCATCTCGAGACGCTCCTTTATGATCCCAAGTGTCAGCTCTAGATCGTTTCGTGGAACGTCACCCCACATGTGCGGATTCTCGAAGGGATTGGCTGCAACGACTTCTCGGAGGAGGCACAGATCCTTGCGTGTCCTGAAGTGCCGTCGGTGGTTGCGTGTTAGCCAAACAATCACTGCGTTTCCCGAGCAGCGAGTACTCGCGGAACAGGAGGCTGCATTGTGGTCGTTTCTCCTCACGTCACGTGATCCTTCGCTCGTTACGACGGTCCGCTCATACGCCCAGCAGTTGGCTGAGCGGAGCGGGAGGCGAAATACGGTCAACTGATCCCTTAAATGTTTTGGTTTAACGTTTCAAAACCACCATACAGTTATGAGAGACGCCAGAGACGCCTAGTGGAAGGCTCCAAGAATTGCGGCCACCTGGAGTTTTTTAACGTAATTCCATGTCTAAGGACACGGGCCTCAAGCAATTTCTCGTACAACGAAAGTGCGGTGGCTGTGGCTGGGACTCGATCCCTCAGCCTGCGGGTCAACAGTGGAGCACTAAAACTACCATACCACCAAGCGGGTCAATCACTGCAAGCAGACATTGAGTGCTCGCACAGGAGGTCACGCATTCTTCATGGTGAATATGAAGAAGCCAAATCAACCGTAGTAGTCATCAACACTACTAGTCTATAGCGATGCATCTGCATATTTCAAATGAACTACGGCAATCGCTTTTTGGCCATCACAGGGTCCTTGCGACAATAAACACCATATATCATCATCATACGGCAATGAGAAGCTACTCAGCTCTTTCACTTATGAATTGGAAATGGCATTGAAGAAGGTTTATTCATTTCTGGCTGGAATGACTGAAAACGCTCTTGACGATGCATTTCCTTGAGGAGAGACGCATCACCCCATTGTTTGACTGTGCGGGATGTAATGCTGAAAGACAGTCGCTGGCGTGCGCTTTAGCGCGTCTTGAGAGTGCGCTAATGGGTGTTGAAACCGTCCTTGCATATCGCTGACAGATGACATTGCAGCTAGAGTCGTCGAAAACACTGGTTATATTTTTGAAAGAAGTACGCTTCGCCAGCGGTGAGTGCGTGAGCTGTGTTATGACCACTGACCAGGTTGAAGCTGCAAAAGCAGGATCGCCTGAACCAGTGGGCGCTAGTTATTGGGGCCCTGAACTAAAGGCTCCACACTATGAGGAAGATCACCTATAATTTTTTAAACTGCAAGTTTTCTCTTTTTCTAGCTCTCTAGCTTTTTCATCTACGCTTTTCATCTTTCAATCAACGCCATCCTGTTCCTATGTGTAGGGTAGCAGACTTAAGGGTGCGCACCAGAGGAAAGTGTCACATGATTGGGGAGGAGGGGAGGGACGAATGCTGCTCCTTAATTTAACGCTGTCAAACCTGTGCCGCCACTCATGGAAATTCTAGGTTGTGATAATACAGTTTCTTTTTTATGATGTTCCTAATATGACCTTATCTAAAAGCACACATTTAACCCAGTTTACTAAGCACCAGTCTGAGTAAGAGTGGGTAGCTGTTTTAGTGTGAAAGTAAAAGCTATGGTACGATAAAAAAATTCATACTTGATCATTGCCAATTGCAAAACGTTTGGGAGAAACACAGGCACTGACATTTTTTCATAAATTTTCTATGCTGAACAGAAACCTTATAAAAGTACCAGCAAGCTCTAACCAACATGTAGTCACGGTAAAAAGCTGACCTGATTCTTATTGCGACGGGTAGACACGGTCTTTAAGGACGGAGTGCTGCCGACGGAAATTACATTGACGAATATAGATCTGGCTTTTAAGAACAACGCATACTTTATTATCTGAACTATGCTTGTATGCATTGCAATGGCTCAATAACACTGTGTAGATGGAAACTAATGCGTACCTTGACTGTTATTTAGTGCTGTCAGTACGTCTCTGTGAACACCTATGCATAACAGCTCATATCGCTTTGTAATATCCCATGCGGGCAATGAGTTCGTTTTGGAGAAAAAAGGACACTTGCGAGAATTCTAGGTTTAAGCCCAGTTTTAAGAATTGTGAGCAATATCATGGGGTACGTACTTGCTGCAACATCATAGCTCTTGCCCTGTATCCGTGATGTGTTAAACCTAATTTCGAGCGTACCTTTCAATACCACCACACACACTCTTTCAAGTGGCCTCCAGGCAGTGTTTTCCCATCAGAAATCACTAGTTTGAGGCATACGACTTGGGTAATAGATGTAGAACCTGATTTGTAAACGAAACCAAAAATAAGCGTTGCAAATGATTTTAGAATTATAGGGAAAGCCATCCTAAATTTAGACATCTAGTGCTGTGTTCTTTTACTGCTCCTGGTCTAGTTCAAATGCTATCCGAAACCATATTGGAAAGTTTTTTATTGTAAAACAGCGAAATGAATGCACACGAACAAATAACATTGAAGACGACTAGAAAAGACAAGGCAGATACACTTTCCCACCTCTCAGCACTACTCAAGAATGTTCTTATTGTGCTAAATTTCCCTCTTTCTAGGTAAGCCCATGACGTCTGAAAGTCGCAGAATCCAAAAGATCCAGCTTGGTTAGAAACCCCGAGAATCTTCATTCAAAAAGTTAGACTTGCATATGCGTAACCAAGTGAGACGAAGAAATAGAATGCAGGACAGTAGCGTTCAGCTAAAATCCGCCTATGCATATCTGCTCGCCTGCCTTTCTTCGTATGGTGAACCACTACCATGGTTCCAAAGCACCGATTCAGCCACAGTAGTAACAGTATGAACTTAGCACTTCACCGAAGCGGTACCATAAGCTGTTTTCATACGCAGTTTTCGTTAACGGCAACAATATGGACTTTCCAGGCAGGCGTCGATTACTTCTGGATTGGAGCCTGGTTTTTAAATATCGGTAGCTTCGGCAAAGGAAAGCACAATGATGTGCCTGAAGGTTGCAAAGTGTCTTCCTTCATTCAGAAGCAAGTCTTTCGAGTTTATGCCAATGAGTGAGCCGTCTATAAACGATGCATATCTTTGATTACACACAGGACGTTATTCTTCGACTCTGTAATGTTGCCCTTAGTCTGCCTCACGCAATAGAGCCATCTGACGGAATTTCTATTGATATTGATACATGTAGTGTTGAAGTTGCAGAAGCCGTAGTCAAGTGCGACACAATCGGTTCTGAGCCCGAGACACTTCAACCTCTTCTATACATAGAAGCATGTTCTTGTTGACACTGGCACCAACACGTACGTAACATTAACTCCCGGTGGCGAAAGCACCGTCTCAGTGCATCGTATCAGTGAACGTGACGTAGGGCATTAGGAGGGAAACATGCACAGTCTCAGTAGCTGGTGAGGTGGACGAAGTCATGGGAATCAGCGGCGAGATCTCGTGTGTGAGTTTGGTAACTCGGTAAGGCAGAACTCGGTAAGACCCGACGTAGCGCGGCAAGAGTTTTTCACTCAAGCGAACGCGACGCGAATGCAGCCAGAGCAAGACCAGGGAGCCAGGGCTAAAACTCACACCGCGGGGATGACTCTGGTTATGGCGCTTTTAGTTGGCCTGAGATGCCAGGAGTCAATAACAGGCAGCGCGACGTGCCGTCGCCGCGCAACCGATGGCGTCGTGAGCATAAAACGTGGTTGAGTTTGCCTCAGAGCTGGCCATGGCCATACAACAGATAAAACGGAGAATAACGAGTAATGATGTGACGGGACGAATTATAGGCAAACGTCACGAATGGTAACGTGCAGTCCCAATTGAAGTGGTCCTCAGACACGTACTTAAATAGCATGTCCGTGAGTGTGCGGCTCAAGTGCTCAGTGAGTGTATTTGTTTGCGGATGGTAAGCCATGCTGAACTTGTGAGACGTTGCACAAGAGCGGAGAAGGTCATTCACAAATTTCCAAAGGAAACATCGGCCTCGATCAGTCAGCAGCTGACGCGGGGCGCCATGGCGCAAAATGACTTGATGGAGAAGAAAGTCATCGGCATCGGTTGCACAGCTGGTAGGAAGGCCTCGCGTAATGGCATAACGTGTATATTCAGTCGCTACGGCCACCCACTTGCTACCCGCAGACGAGCTCAGCAAGGGCGACACAATTGGTTCTAAGCCCGAGACACTTCAACCTCTTCTATTTCTAGGTGTGTCCTCTAGTTGACACTGGCACCAACACGAACGTAACAATATGTATCGGTATGGTGAGCCAGCTTCATAGAGTTTAGTTTCATTTTGTATTCAAACAATCAGTGACTCTATCACCGCATGTGCCCACCCAAGAGCAAGAAAACTCGGTCAAAAGTTTTATTTACGTAATATTCCTTTGTAATCATTTCACTTATTATCTTCCGCCTCCTCTTTGTGTTGTTACATCGCTAATATCCTCTCCCAGGCAGAGTAGCAAATCAGCCTTTCAATACAGTTTTGTCTCCTGCAAGACCAATAATGAATAAACATTCCGTCGTGAACAGTAATCACCTATTTTGCTTCTGTTTATTTTATTGAGCCAGCGAGAATCTTCATGCACACGAAAAAAGGTTTCACGAGTGGATGACATGTTCGCCTTTGTTGTGCACTACCTACCTTCATTGACGGCGTCCCTGAGGTAGGAGAGGTACGTGCCAACATCTGCAGATCTGTCGCAGTCGCGAGCGCAGTCACAGATGTCTCCATGGTAGAACTTCTCCGCCGTTCCGTCGGACGCAAACGTGAGGTCCGCCTCTATAGCGTTCACACCCTGGCCCACGAAAGTATCTACGATTTCAAGGCTGTTCGCCATGTGACCGGTCACATAGAAAGGCCAGAGCTCACTGGATTCAGATGCCTGAAAGCATCCACAGAAGAGGTGCCTATAATACTGCTATCTGAATTACTTAATATAAACAAAGCACACAGATTGCAAAAGCTTCATACAATATACGCGTGATGGTTTCACGTTTACATGCACCTATCATACTCTGTGCTCGTAGCTTCCACGTTATAAATTGAAAAATATCGAGGTTTGCTGTCTACTCGATGATGTGGCTGAAAGAAAAATAAATATTAGAACGACCAGTTGAGCTTAATAATTTTTTCTGATCATCTGTACACTCCTCTAGTTAGTAAACTTAGCTTAAAGCTGCAAGTGCAGTATTAAGTCGACGTTGAAGTGTTTAAAGTAGCTAGGCAGTCCGTAGAGCAGTTTTCAAGAGTACTTGGAAACAAAATATGAGATCCTAATGACTTACAGGTATATTTATATGATCTCAGTAATGGTATTAGAACGCACAAAAAGCCGCAAAGAAAGAGTAATGCGTATTACGTCATTGTGTCATAGCCTCGTAAGCGTCTTATCAGAACAAAATATTTTGTATCTGAAGCAATAGCTTGTAGATCATTCTATATTTTTATTTATTATGATTGTTATCAGTATTTACCACTGTTGGGACAAAGCTGTACATGGCTGGGGTTTTTATGTATATTTCTGCCCATACGCGAAAAAAAATTTTGGCAAGCGTTAGCAAATCCGCAAACAGTGCAATAGCAAAACACCGTCCTGATCCATGTCATTAGAGAACCACGCTTGTGGTTCTCTAATAACCACCCACAACATAAAAAATACTTAGGAAAAATAAATGCAGCTCTACACTCTGCTGAACATGTGACTCACTGGAGACGGAGTGCCGTCATTGTTTTTAGTTATATAGATTAGTGGCAGCCATGACACCAGAATGTGATGCAAGACACTGTCCATTGCTCAGTCCTCCCAACAGTTTTTGCAGGAAGCTTTTGGATTCAACTCGACCACAAACGCAAGCCACCAAACTGTTCAACTATAGCCACGTGTATAGATTTCGTTTAGGTCACGGATCTGCTAATGTTGTTTGAACGTGCTGAGACCATGTATATAACACAGATTACAAAGGTTTCTTAACTACCATGACTTCATGTGAAATAAGTACGTACACTCTCTGGCACTGCGGAATGTGTTCCAGTTGCTTCGGTTGCCCTCTCATACGCATAGGAATAGTTTCATTTTTTTAAACGTAAAAATAGGTGTACTTGATTGCTTGTTTTACAGTCTGGTGGTTTTAGCAATTTATAATGCCAAAAAATGGTTCTCATCAATAGCTTGTTCAATAATAACATTTGGTCAGCGCACTTGCTTGGGCTTTTTTCATGAGTTGACACGCGCCTTTCAGCATCGCCCTGTTTTCATTGGTTAAACGACATTGGGTGTCAGCGCTTGTAAAATAGATTTGTTTTAATTGGACCTGTTGATGCCGCACGTTGGAATTTGCACGCAGTGATGATCCTATTGATGGGTACAAAAAAAAAACACCGCACAGCACCGACGTGATGTCGCGTTGCCTCTCAACCGGTGGCACAGATGTACATATATCTGAATGCCTACTTCACTAACCAAGGCTCAGTTCCGGGTATTTCCTGCCAGCTGCGCGCGGTCGTACACACTGCGCGACGTCCCCGCGGCTTACGTTACTGTATAGACTATCTATTAGTGACGTTGACCGTGGTGAGCCTGCCCTTGACTCTGTTCACTCACCAGGACTCTGCGCGCAATCAGTTTGCTTCGCGAGTCGTGGCAAGACAATTAGGCGTACTTGCTGGCGCACGCTTCACGTTGTCGGCGAAGACGAGGTTACATTAACCTTGCTAAAACTCGCTGCAGGGCCATGCTATCGACGTTAACCAAGACTTCTCGCTTAGGAGTGCCACGACGCTGATGTGATTTTTTGAGACGAGCTACAGCCGCGTGCATGTTGACAATTTGCAAGTTTGGAGTACCATCGAATCACCGGAACAAACTAAGGTGTCGATGAGCTTCGCAGTGCTCTACCTTGCACCGCTCGCGCCATTGAGTTTTAGCAAAAAATATGGGTTGTATATTCTGTACAAGAGCTAGGTTGCAGTACCATCCCGAAAAGTGAAATTCGTACCTTGTTTACTTGAAAAAAAATGAAAATATACACGTAGTACACCTAATATTTTGTCTCATTAGGCCCAAGGAAACGATAAAGCAGGTACTTGCATCGACGTTCGCCAACAGAAAAAGGCATGCCACTTCAAGGAGCATACTTGAAACTCCGCTCTCCCACAAGTCACCCTGGTAGTCGTCTGCAAGACATAGCGATATATAAAATGATATTATTCATGACGTATCCATCTCATGTGCCCCAAAATGATATCAACACGCATCTACCATTGAAGCACGTGGCAGCCTTAATGGAGCAACCAACCCCTTTTCTTTCAACGGTCAACTGACAGCATGTCGGTAATAACGTATTATGGCGCATTTCTACTGCGCAGTTAAGAGAGCTCAGTCTTTACAATCAGTTGAATTTCTCTTGCTCTGCCTGCCTGGTGATTCAAGCTGGCAGGTATTCTGCAAGCGGTTATAAAGAAAAATCAAAAAAAAAAATGGCGACCCGAAAACTATATCTTTCTGCGAGGACACTTCTACAAGTCGGCGGAGGGATTCGATGTCTAGAATGAAAGGTATACGGGTGTGAAAAGAACATGGGATAAGAAAACATTGGCCCGAATCTACATGTTACACTGTAAACGTCGTCGAAAGACGATAAGCTTGCGTCTGGAGAGAGTGAACAAAACGTTCATCTAATGTTCTGCGCATAAAATTGGTGAATAGTATTTTGAAGGCGCTGTGTTAGAGTGTCTGGAGCGTGTAGCGGAGGTGACCAAGCGCATCTAGGATGGATGGATGGATGCTATGAGCGTCCCCTTTATAACGGGGTGGTGACAAGTATGCCACCAGGCTCGACAAAAAAAAACCTTTTTTCTTTTTTTTTTATGTTGGCCTAATGCCTCTACTTCGATAAATTCTATCTTAATGGAAAAAAAGGTAAATTTTCAGCTTAAGTTCTCTGCCATTTACGGCACACTGTCCATATTTTATTTTTCCAATATTTATTTTTGTCCTTTCTCTCTAATTTTCTGCCACCAATACTCTAACCGTCTCTTACTTATTTCAATCGCGGGTGTGTTCAGCTTTCGATTGTTGTCCCTAAAACCCAAGGCTTCCTGTAGGCTCGTGCCCAAACGTACACCTGGGTGGATATCTCCACATTCAATCAGAACATGCTCCGCCGTTTCCTTATCTTTCCCGCAGCATGTGCATTGTTCTTCTTCTTTACTGAATTTTGCTTTATAATGTGGGGGTGCTGACACCCCCCCTGTAAAGTTGTCTGCGCCGCGTGGCGCACGTGTCTCGCCCCAGGGCGTTATTTCGGTGGTGACCACCACCGGGCGATAGATGGCGTTGGGTTCGCTCTGAGTACCACTGTTGGTAGAGTGGCAGCGCCGGTAGTGGCCCCTGGCGGAAGGCAGGCCTTGGCGGTGGGCGAGCGTTGAGCGAGCCTCTTTTGCGCGTGGCGGCTGCCGCGAACGGTTGTCTGGAGCGCGGGTCCCCGGTGCTCGGCACCGCGGGCTTCGCGCCGGGGTCCCGCGTGTAAGGTCAGGCGTTGGCGACACCGCCTTGGGTATGTGCTAGTGTGTTGGGTGTGTTAGTGTGTGTTTATCATGTTATTGTGTGTTTAGTGCGTCCCTGCATTATGTTGTTTGTATGGTTTAGTGGTAATTGAAATTGTTGTATCATTCGGCGGACGATATCGTCGTCTAAATTAGTTAATAAATGTATGTATGTTGTGTGCTTTGTTCCGACCGTGTTCACTGTGTCCGTCACTCCAGGAGCGTGGCGTGGCGAGGCGCTCGTTCGCCTCGCGGAGACCCCACACTGGCTGCCCAACGTGGAGCTCTTGGAGTGTCGGACGACAGTTCTTGCGGTTCGGTACAGGGATTTTGTTAGAGCCGGAATAGAGTAGGCCTAGGGGGGACTTCTTTGCTAGCGTCGGTGGTGTGCTTTGTTGAGAAGCGAGGGGATTGGTTTTGTAACGTGTTTCAATTTGTCGGCAGGTTGGCTTTCTTTTTTTTTTGCTCGCAAGTGTTCTTATTTTTTGTTTTTAGTTTTCAAAAACGTTGTTGAATTAGGACGAGAGCCATGCGGTCCGCATCCTGGGGTGAGCAAGGCCTAGAGCACGTGGTTTGTAGGCCAGGCCCGAAGCGAGTGAGTACGGAAGCCTCGTGGGTGGTCCGATTTTCTGTAAATAGCTTCTTCTATCTCTTTGGGCTCAGGGAGCCGGGCGTCGTTGCTGACTTGTATTGCGGCTCGACGCCGGGGCGTCGTGACACCGCCCGGGGCGGTGGACGCCGATCGCTCGGTAAGCTGCTGTGTGCGGCGAGCGATAGGGCCACCTCACAGAGTGGACGTCTCCTCGCGGCTGCCTCTCCTGCGCCAAGGCTGGGTGCTGGGTGGATTCCGGTTGTTGCCGAGCGACTCATTTGGCCTAAGGCTCTGCGCAGCCGCCTGTCGCACGTGGCACAACTAGGTGGATCGTAGCGTTGAGGGGTTGCGCTCTGCTTCCCTCACTTTTTTTTTTATCTTGCGATGCAAGGGTTAGGAAAAGTGATTTTTGTTTTATTTTGATGGGCGTCTCGGCCGCCACCGATGTATTAGCTAGCAGTACTGGCCACCGTACCACGTGGCCGCAAAGCCTGAAGCTCCCTCCCCTGGGCCGCGCTACTTTGTTTCTTTCGAGTTTTGTTTTTTGTCGATGTATTCAGCGGGAGGGATGTCATCCACGGCCGGCTGTCCTGCACATCGTCAGCGTCGTTGGCCAGGAATGCGGTCGTGAGGTCGGGCGATGGAGATGCCTGGGACCTGCGCAACTGCCTGCAGTCCGGCGCCCTCGCGAGTGCTGGTCGCAACTGGAAGACGTGTCGGCGCTAGCGACAGATCGTCGCGCCGACGGCAACGTTGCTGTTGCGGGGCCGGTACTGAGGTGAAGTCTAGCCGGAGAGTGCAGCAGTGTCGACCAGCGGCGGTGTCGTGGTGCAAGGACATTATGGTCGTGCGATATCATTTTTTTGTTAAAGCTTGTGTAGCTAATTTATGATTTCGGGATATGGTTTGATTTAAGGTTGGGGGAATGTGGGGGTGCTGACACCCCCCCTGTAAAGTTGTCTGCGCCGCGTGGCGCACGTGTCTCGCCCCAGGGCATTATTTCGGTGGTGACCACCACCGGGCGATAGATGGCGTTGGGTTCGCTCTGAGTACCACTGTTGGTAGAGTGGCAGCGCCGGTAGTGGCCCCTGGCGGAAGGCAGGCCTTGGCGGTGGGCGAGCGTTGAGCGAGCCTCTTTTGCGCGTGGCGGCTGCCGCGAACGGTTGTCTGGAGCGCGGGTCCCCGGTGCTCGGCACCGCGGGCTTCGCGCCGGGGTCCCGCGTGTAAGGTCAGGCGTTGGCGACACCGCCTTGGGTATGTGCTAGTGTGTTGGGTGTGTTAGTGTGTGTTTATCATGTTATTGTGTGTTTAGTGCGTCCCTGCATTATGTTGTTTGTATGGTTTAGTGTTAATTGAAATTGT